TATGATTTCTGCTTCCGTACAAGACTTGGAAACCATTTACTATATACTACCTCCGTAACTGATATATCTTCCCATGTGAAAAGTAGGTGAAATTAAGAATAGTGATAGGAGATATAAATTATTGAGGGTATGATGGGAAAATAATGAAATAGTGTGTTGGAATGAAGGATAAATCCAAAAGAAGTAGTTGTAATAGAGTATTATTTTTAAAATTATTGAGGGTATGATGGGAAGATTTTGAAATGGGAAGATATGATTGTTACAACTAAAAAGGGAAAGTGGGAAGATATGAGTGTTACAGAGGGAGTATTGTAACTTACCGTTTCAAACTGTGTACTCAATCACACTATGATTTCTGCTTCCGTACAAGACTTGGAAACCATTTACTATATACGGAGTATTGTAATAACTGAGTGCTTGAAGGCGAATCATCTTTCCCTTGAAATGATATACTCCTTATATTATTTTTTTGGAATGATCTTTTAAAGTTATTATAGTATCTGCTTTGGTTAATGCCAACATCCTTGATTGAGATAAGATTCGAACTTGCGACATCCTCTTTAGGAGATCAGTAATGATGTCATCAGATCACAAGATACTCGACATAATTTATTTTTTATGAATAAACAAAAAACATTGCTGCATTACTATCATTGCTATTGTGAAGTTGCATTTATGATTTTTTTTAATAGAACAAACAAATTTATGGCGCTTGCGTTATAATACGCTTTCATGACATTATAAGAGGACATTTTCTCAATTTTCTCAAACATGTACATTATTGTGTGACTCATGTAATTCGTCAAACGATATTTATTACCTAATCAATAAAATAAAATCTTCACGTATAAAAAAGAGAACAAAAAACTGCAATGGAAAGTGGAACCAAAATATTAGTATGTGCCTTAGGTAAAACTCTCAAAAGAAAAATGTACCTGAGGAGGGAAAAAGGTAATTGGATTTGGATTGATTTCAATATGAAAAACTCTTTCATTTATGTTTTAAAAAGTATTACTACCTCAGTCCTAAAATAATTAATCATCTTTAAAATTTTGATTAACAGTATATTTTTATTGGAGATTATTTAAAATATAAAATGATAAAAATAAGTTTTTTATTTAAAGTATTTTCATAAGAGTATAAATTTATAACTTTCATAATATTATACTAATTCAAATCATGGTCCAAATTTTACTAAGTATTTTGAGACAGTGGTAGTAGTTCTAATGGAAGATAACAAATACTCCATAATTGATTACAGAGCAAAGCATCAAGAGGAGGAGAATCTCTCATTCTAATATGGACCATATTGTACACTCCACTGCACCATGTGAATGGTACATCCAGACTTTTTACTCCGGTTGTGCTCCTATTGTCATTCGCATCAGGCTCATCGCTTCGCTCACCATCGTACGACTCGCCACTAGCAACGATCTCTTCTCCTCCAGCCCAAATGCAACACCTTGTCCTCCAGTACGAACGCAACACCTCGTCCTTCAGCTTGCGTAGAAACGGCGGTTCCGCCGGATGTATACTTCGGCGCTATTTTACGGAGGTTTGGTGACTTTGGTCGCTTGTTTGTCGCATGTTGCGAGGAGCCTGAGAATCTGAGATATGCATAAAGTTTTTTCCCTCTAAAAAAAATGAAAATTCGAGCATAGTTGCATAGTAAATATTTTAAATGAGCTTTTTTTAATTTTTCGATACTCATTTCGTTATTTATGTATACTAATTTGTTATTGATGTTATACTCATTTTAAAATGTCATATTCATGCATATCTCAAAAGTATAATATATATTACATTAAGTTCACATATTGGATTCATTCGGGTTCATTGTAAATATTTTTGAAAATAAGAAAAATAAAGTGAATTATAAGATACGAAGCCGAGTTCAGGATGCTCATTATTAGACTCTCAAATCTCAGGAGAATATATCTGATGTTTACTAAAAGTACATTAATACTCATGTAACGGAAGCCACAATTTTTATTTAAATTACGAAAATGTCACCACATGCACGGTGCTCATTGTAGAGCCAACGTGGTATGGTATAGGAAATCGTGGGGCAAGCATGAATAAGTGTGAGAATGCATCGGGAAGCTTAGCATTGCCGGATGAGAGCTCTCATAGGTGACTGATTTTAGAAGTGAACAAGAAGGATTACGACTATAGAGACAAGGAGAAGCGTCAGGAAGAGCCTTCGTCGTCCTTTATTTAGTTTTTCTCCTACAATTTATTAGAACTTGAGACTTGACTTTCATTTTGTGATTGTAGTCTCTTTTTGTTTATAGTGGGTGGGTTTTGTTTGGTAGTTGTTGGGAATAAGGTCCAAGTTGAGTTGAGAGGTAGAAATATGAGGGCCGTCACTTTTTCAATTTTTGCTTACATTGAACACTTAAAAGATAAAAATTAGAAGCAAGAGACTGTGATAAACCGTTTTTCATTTTTCTATTACATACAAAACATTAATTTTACCGAAAAGTATCAGCTTTTACCTTTTCGGTAATACTTTTTTCTCAAATACCGTCAATTTTTACTATTTAAGACTTTCTCCAAAATCACTTGACTTTTCTAAAGTAAAAGCAATCACAAAACACTCCCGTAAAAAAAGAGCAAGTTCTAGACAAAAAAGGATGAAACCACATCCTTGAGGGCCTCAGCACCAACCGGCAACCACATAGTTAAATGAAAGAATGTAAATTAAAATTTAATCACAACTGACAGATGAGTGAATTCTATTCCAAGTTTTAAATGAAGTTTTGAACCTTCTACATGTCCCCTATGACATTTTCTTCCGGCTAGATGAGGTACGCCCCAACACGAAGTATGTATACCATACACCTTCTTATACAGTGCTTATCGTACAACCGGGTATTTTATCATTGTTTTGGTAATACAATTGAGTATAGAAGTGTACAATATACTCCCCCCGTCCCATTTTGCTTGTCTTATTTTCCTTTTTAGGTTGTTCCAAAACGGATGTCATGTTTCTCTTTTTGGTAAGAAATTTGTGGTCCATATAATTTCACTTTATTCTACTCAAATCTCAACCACAACTTTTACTTTTCAACCACTTTATTAATAATCATGTCAAATTGAAATGAGACAACCATTATGGGACGGAGGTAGTAGTATTATGATCTACACGTGATATATATGCTACAAATAAACTTATTCATGTAACTATATTATCATTGTATTGCTATGAAAAATATTTATTGTGTTAATTTTATACGTAGTAATATAATACTAATACTCATTTCATTTAAATTATATATTCGTATAAACTAAAATACCCTACTATAAAGTGCAGATGATATAAACGTATGTACTCCCTTCGTCCCATTTTGGTTGTCTTACTTTCCTTTTTGGGTTGTCCATATTATTTGGATGTCATGTTTCCTTCTCTGGTAAAAAACTTGTGGTCCATATTATTTCACTTCATTCTACTCAATTCTCAACCACAAATTTTACTTTTCAACCACTTTATTAATAATCGTGCCAAATAGAAATGAGACAACCATTATGGGACAGAGGTAGTTGTTGTTTACAACTTTACATTACTGGTAAAGTTCGGCACAACATCTAGGGCAGAGAGCTCCTAGGGCAGAGCAGCCGCTGGATAATTTCCGATTTCGATCTTTCTTTATCTGTTTGTTATTTGTTTTCTTGTGTTCATCTTTGTTGTTGGTTTTGACAATTTGTTTGAGTTTTTAGACTCTCTTTATGTCATTGAGTATGGTTGGATCTATGGGAACAGGTTTGGCTGTGTCAGGCCCACTACATGGTTAGCGATTCGTGTTGCTCTTTCAGGGGTGACCGTCTCAAAGTCTCACCATAGGGTTACAGTCGTAGTTGTTGGAGTTTCAATTAGTGTCAGTTTTATTTTCCCTTTAATTGACGTAATGATCCCAAATCTTTTGATATGAATAGAGGCATGTTTTGAGGATAAAAAAACTTTTTCAAAAAAAAAACTTTACATTACTAGTATAGTGGTATGTGTAGGGGTGTGCATAAACTGGTCCAGACCGCATTTTGGACCTGAACCGGACCGGAATGGACTGGTCCGGACCGGATTATACAGGTCCAGTCCTCGGTCCATTGAAAATTGAGATTCCGGGTTCCGGTCCGGGTCAAACCCGGAAAAAACAGGTCCGGACCGGTCTGGACCGATTGCTATCAGGTCCGATCTTCGGTCCATCCAAAATACAGATTCCGGTTCCAGTCCAGTCCGGTAACCTGGTTATTACTATTATTTTATCCGTATTAGTGTAATAGTGTTAATTGGGTTTGGGGCGGCACAGCCTAATAGGGTTAATTATTTTAATCAACATGGACTTTTATTTTAATTTTTTGTTATACAGTAGCTCTTTTGGCAGATTTTTTTTACTTTGCCATCGATATTGGCAGATTGTCATGACAGTGTTGCTTCTTTAGCTAAAACTAGAGTATCGTGGATTATGTTTGCTAATTGCTATGGACTAGTTAACTCTCTGATCAAAATATTTTTACTGCTTGTTACTTTCGTTTTTTGACATGGTTGCATGACTACATAGTGCATTACATTATACATAACGAAAACAATAAGTGATGGTCCGATGGATATATTTGTAATGCTTATTGGGAGTTGTTGCCTTAAGAAATATTTAATCTTAACATTTAGTGACTAGTACTTGAATTATATAAAATTATGATGTACTGCAGGTTTGCAGTATTAAAGAATAAGGATTGCACACATTTATGCCTTCATAAAAATTCATAAACTAAAGTGCATTTCAATACCGGTCCAATCAGATCTAAAACCGGACCGACTCGGAATAAACAGGTCCGGACTGGTCTGGACCGATTGCTATCAGGTCCGGTCTTCGGTCCATCCAAAATACAGATTCCGGTTCCGGTCTAGTCCGTTCCGGTCCGGTCCGGTTTTGGACCGGTGCACACACCCCTAGGTATGTGGCTGTTGAGATTTTCGGGAGCGTGGAACCTTGAACCGTGGGTTCGACTCCAAGGACCACGGACCGGTAGTTCGTCATTTCTCTCCGCTCCCCACCAAGTCAGTTGCCAGTTCAATAGCAACTCAGAACTGGCAAAAACCACTCCAATCGCCGCCGCATCCCCGTTCGTTCACCCCACAATGAATGCCTCTTCGAAGTTCCTTACACTTCTCACTACCACTAATTCACCCATCACCCTATTTTACCGCCCTTGCTGCTTTCTACATCGGCGTTCCCTTACTTTCGCCCGCTGCCTCTCCGCCTCTCCTCGCCGCCTCACCGGAAATTCTTCCGCCCTCTTATCATCCCCCAGGACACCTCTCACTACTTTCCGGCGACCATTTCAATCTGAGGCCCTGCCAGTGAGTAGCACGCATAGCTCTTTTTCTTCCACAACCCACCCGTGGCAAGAATGGTGCAACCTAATCAACGCGATATCTGCAGATGTAAAGGTGGAGGAGCGCGGAGTAACCCCTGAGGATGATGGGTTTGTGGCATACGAGCAATTGCCATATGATTTTCTTCAGGCTGCCAGTGCGTGCTTAGCGTTTGCTCGACAAAGGCCGAATCTTTTAGGGTTTGATACCTTTTATCTTCTTAGTTCACTTAGTTATGCTCTTGGAAACTGGAATTGTTACCCGAAATTGTTTTATTATTATAGCATACTCTGGAACTCATGGCAGACCATACATGAATCTGTATGTTTTTGTACAACTTATGTATCTGTATGTTTTTGTACAACTTATGTTATACAATGTTGTAATTGTAAATGTCGAGGGAACAATGTTTTCCCACAAACTTTTTTTGCTGGAAATGATGAATTATATCATAAATATTGTTACCTGAGAATAATGAATGTGTGTTAAAGAGTTAATGCCGGAAACGTTTAATTCTTTCTCCTTTAAATGGTTACACAGTTCACTTTCGAAGAGGGATATTGAAGTGGTCGTGACAAATGGAACACCTTTTCTGTTCAGAACAGCTCTTGAAACAGCACGCAGAATGAGGGCATTTCTTGGTATTGATGGAAACCATGTACGTGAAATGAATGCCAGAATTTCTGATAATAAAATGTTATGAAATTCTCTTTCGTTATATAATGATGGTATGGCATTGACATACAAGTTCTTGTGTGTTAGGATTACTCCACACTTTATTACCATGAAGGAACAATAGGCCAATAGGGCAGTGGAGGGAAGAGGGGAGGATCTTTCACAATGCTCCCTCTATTCCATTTTTTAGATACTCTTTTGTTTTTGTGTGCCTCAAATTATGATCGTTGTCCTAATCTGAGCTCACTTTATACTTTTTTTTTTTATGATTTCACCCTATACTTTGTGTGAACCCATACTACTTTTCTTCCTTTTAGAAGGTTACAATTGTAAAAAGGAGAAGCTATGGAGGGATGACTTGGGTTTTTGTTATGCATCTTTAAAATGAACAGTTAATTAATTTATTCTGTTAGTTAATCCGCACTGATCACATGTGCTCTGTTTTTACCTTAAATCCTAATTTTAAAATACTAACATTACATTTCAGGCATTAGATCGTGGTGATGTGCATACAATTGATATTATGAAGTATATAATAAGTTATGCCAGCAATCCTGCTGGCTCTCCCGGATGCAAAACTGTGTATAGTCGGGAACTCCTAGAAACTTCTATTAGAAACCTTTTGCATCAATTGGTTGAAGTTGGCTGGGGACCTCCTGCCTCTGTCTTGCCTCCTCCAGGAGTTCACCAGTTTTCAGGCCGAGCTGGGGAAACTCCAAGGCCTGCTGGGCAAAACATCGTGATGAAGAGAGGTGACTGGATTTGCCCAAAGTATGTAATACTATTGCACTTTAAAAATTATATATTCTTCTCTCTGTCATTGACTCTGCCATTTTATCCAATGATCTGGCAAGTCTTTGAAATTTTTATGCTAGTTAACATGATTCAGTGTTAAACAGGTGCAAGTTTATGAACTTTGCAAGAAATATAGAGTGCCTCGAGTGTGAGGAACTTAGACCAAGAAGACAGCTAACAGGCGGGGAATGGGAATGCCCCAAGTGAGAACTATGCTATCTACATCTCTCTCTCCATCCTTGAAAAGACTTGTATTTGAAAATTCATTTTTGTTCCGAAAAAGAGTCCTATTTTAACACGTTAATTTTCATTACATTTGATCTTTTAAATATAAATGGTCCCTAACAACTTAAGTAATGTTAAATTTAGTTAAACACTTAAACCAACAAATAATTTCAAAAAACATACTCCCTCCGTCCCCTTTTATTTAGCCAAATTTGACTATTCAAGTCAATGATGTTAAACTTTGACTGATTATATATTTATACATGGTAGTATTGAAAATATGAAAATGATATGAAATTGTTCTATGTTAAAAATACTATCATAAAAGTAAATTTATTGAATTTCACATAAACATATTAGTTAAAATAATTAATCAAAGTTTACCATCTTTAGTTAAAACTGGAAAAGTCAAAGATGACTAAATAAAAAGGGACGGAAGTAGTAGCTATAATCGATTATTTTCAATAGTTATACCTTAATAAAATTTAAAAGTTGTACATTGGACCTTTTCTGGAACGGAGGAAGTACCTTTTGTAGTGTGCCATAATTATCATCTTAATGCTCCCTCTTTGTGCATTATCCCAGATGTGATTTCTTCAACTATGGAAGAAATATGGTCTGCCTTAGATGCAATTCTAAACGACCTGCCGAGGCTTCAGTCAACAGCGATACTAGAAGTTTGGGGGACGCTTATAATAAAACTGAAACAGATGAGATGTTTTCTGAGAATGAACCAAAGGCACAAATTCGGTTTAGTAAAATCAATGACACTGCAGCTGATGAAGAGGACTTCCCTGAGAAGAAGCTTGTTGTGAGCACAACAAGAAAGACGCCTTTGGAGAGGATGCTGCCCAACTCTCCACACAAAGGGAACTCTGATAGGTGCTTTTCCTTCGGCCTTTTTTGTTTGGCTTAATATTTATTCTTATTGTAATCAGATTAGGCCAGATCCTAAAGATTCACTGATTCAGACCCAATTCATATTTCGAAATAGAAAACCAGACAAGATCTGAAAGACTAGACCACACCAAAAATTTCATACCAGACTAGATTTTTATATTTCAAACAAGATCAGAAACATTCAGATGATTAGACCTGATCATATCAGAAACAGTCCCATCAGACTAGACCAGATAGGATTTTAGTTTTACAAGATGAGAAACATTCATATTAGTAAGGTTCTGTTCATTGCAGAAAGAGTCAGACTGGATTATAAAAACTCAAACGAGGTCACATTTTCTTTCAGGCCAAGAGAACAGGTCCTTAATAATGGCTTTACTGAAGATGAAAATAAAGAGAAAGCTGCAAAACCAGAAAGCTGGTTTACAAAAATGGAAAAACTGCATAACGAGTTTCCAGAGATCATGCAGAAGAAAGATTATTCTTCGTTAACTTCAAGAATGAACAAAAGGGAAATCAATAAGGATTTTGTCCCATTCGTTCCATTCCCACCTGGTTTTTTTGCTACCAAGGAAACCCAGTCACCAGATGATAAGCTGGATAAAGACACAGGAGGTACCAAGAAAGACACTGCATCCAACTCCAAACAGAACCTAAGGAACAGTGGGTGGACAGGAAAGAGCTTAGAGGGGAGTGGGGTGGAGGAAGCAGAAGATCCCTTGGACATGTCTGAAGAGGCAAAAACGAAGAGGTGGTTCAAGCGTGTATCTCAAATAAAAGACATATCTGAGCTTAGTGAGATACCCGATGAAGACTTCCCAACGATAATGCCAATGCGCAAGGGGGTTAATAGGTTTGTTGTTAGCAAGAGAAAAACCCCAATGGAGAGGCGGTTGACGTCTTCAACACAGTATAGAATGAATCACCCGGTTGTGAGTTCTAATGATGAACCTACGAGAACGGAAAACGATGATAACAATAATGAAATAAAATAAGCAGCGGTATTTTGCTGAATTGTTTTTCTTCACAGCTCTAACTTTTGTAAACGCATATACAGCCTAACTAGATACAAGGACATACTAAACATCAATTCTATGTTTGTACTCCTGGAGTCCCGGAAATACTTGAGGAAAGAAAATAAAATGCCTAGGAATATTGTTGTGCCTGGATTTCCCTGGAAAACGCATAGGAGGACGAAATGTAATCTCCCTCCGTCCCGCTAAGATTGTCCCATTTTACCTTTTCGGGAAGTCCCACTAAGATTGTCTCATACCAAATTTGGTAAAGTTTGTGTGGTTCTAAATCATTTCTACTTTATTCTTACTTTATCAATTTAATGTTAATCACACAAACCCACTTTTCTTAATAACCGTGCCACTTTTTCATGTCTCAATCTTAGTGGGACGGAGGTAGTATTTTTTTAGCATTCATTTTTATATTTACATTCCTCATTTTTCCCCTTTCCCTTTCCTCTCTATTTTTTTCCCAAGCATTTTCTACAACTGGAGCATTAGAATATCATCTTTTATCACATTTGGAGTTTTGGATTAGATTAGATGCTTTCATGAGATTTTCTTTTACTCTGGGAAGCAAGGAATAAAGTACGGAGTATCAATTTTATTGAAGGGTAGGTAGGATAGAGGAAGCCGTGGGGGCGTCTGGCTACCAGCAGTTGGTACTTGGTAGTTGTTTTGCGAAGGCTAAATGTATGATGCCTTTGGATTTTCTATCAATGGATAGTACAGTATTTGAGGTTTGTAAATGTAGGGAGTATATTTAATAATTCAGATAATATACAACTTGTGAAATTGTTTATAACCACATCAATATATATTCTTTTATTTACTAACAATCTAACACCATTGTAAGAAGTATAATATTTGGATTATAAATAAATTTTAAAATAATCTAAAGCAAATCATAGTAATTACATTTGAAACCAATGTTTTTGTTACCTCCGTATGTAGAAATAATTACTTGCAAAATTATGCTTTCCATATATATTTTATTCCCCCGAACTTTTTTTTAAATGAAAATTATTACCTCTAACTTTATTATGGAGTATGATGATATTAAGGAGAACTCTTCTTGTCAGGCCGGCCTGACCGGAAGAGCTGTCCGGCCGAGTCCTTTTGGCGACCTTTCCGGTGGAATTTTTTGATGAAATTTTTTGAGCATGTTCCTCATCAAGTCTAGTTTGTCCATACCAAATTTTAGCTCAAAATTCGATCGGGAAGGCATTCAAACCTTTTTTTGAAGTTGACTGCGTCAAAATATACATATAAAAACGCAGTCAACTTCAAAAAAAGATTTGAATGCCTTCCCGATCGAATTTTGAGCTGAAATTTGGTATGGACAAACTAGACTTGATGATGAACATGCTCAAAAACTTTCATCAAAAAATTCCACCGGGAAGGTTGCCAAAAGGGCTCGGCCGGACGGCTCTCCCGGTCAGGCCGGCCTAACATGATGATTTCTCTGATATTAAGTATTTTAATCTACAAATACTTAATTACTTTTATTCTTTCTACTTTTCATTTGTTCTCTCATACATAGTACATAGTACTTTTTACGAAGTAGTTTTTACACTTGTTCAACATGATTCACTACTCATAATATCTCACTCTTAACTTTTAAGAGTAATTACGAAGTGTGTATGTTACTTCACTAAACTTTAAAAAATATAATCAAAAATAAATTGATCAATAAAAAATGTATCATGGTATTACCGTAATCCTTAGGCTTGTTTGGTATTATTGGTATGCTCATTAAAACATTTTAGGCTTGTTTGGTATTATTGGTATGCTCATTAAAACATTGCGTCTCTGCCCAAAAAATGAGAAGGGATCAAATTTCGTACATCCTGACTAGAAAATTCAGTTATGAAACAATCATTATTTATGCAAAATAAAATACATCATTCAGTTAGCTATGTAATGTAGTTTTAAATTACATTCAAAGTTGTGACAATGAATTAAAAAGGATGCAAAATATTTTAATCTCCTCACATAAAATATTTTTATGTCACAATACGAAATGTATAAAAAGTGTCCATTGATATTAATAATTACATTCAATGACACTATATCCCTACCATTTACATGCAAATAATTACTTTTCTTTTTATCAAACATTTTATGTTTTTTTATTATAATCAAACATTTTGTGTTACAAATGCTTTTTATCAAACATTTTATATTACAATCATGCTTGTTGTACACTGCACACACTCATTTGGACACACTCTATACACGTGTATGTGGATAGATTAAATTGATCTGTCAATAACTTATTTGTAGACAAATAATATTTTATTTGTGAACAACCTATTCATATACATAGCGTGTACAAAAGTTGAACCTTAGACCATATAAGAATATTACCCGAAATAGGACTAAAAAGATTTGAAAATTCCAAAATAGGACTGTCATGTTTTTATTCCCAAAATAGGACTAATTACTGTCATGTTTTGACAGTATCAGACTTCAAACATGACAGTATTTTCCAAACATGACAGTAATTACTCCTATTTGGGAATAAAAAACATTACAGTCCTATTTTGGAATTTTTAAACTGTTTTAGTCCTATTTCGGGAACTTTCCCGAGACCAGGGGCGTAGATAGGGGGTGGCCATCCTTGGCCATGGCCCAACCCAAATTTTAAAAATGTCTAAATTTTTAGGGTAAAAAATTCCGTGTAAATTTTTTTCCAAAAATATTCTTTGTACCGGCCCAGTCCGGCCCAGTGTCCTGGCTCCGCCCCTGCCCGAGACCCTATCTGCCATTGGTCAAAGAAAGTACCCACTTTGTCCCATTTAAAGATTCTCGTCCACTATTCTCCGGTCAATGTGAATTATTCTTAATCTTTTATTTTATATACTATGTATCATACTTTTTTCTAATTTATTTTTTCTTGATAAGGTATTAAAAAACTTGTAATGTAGTTTCCTCTGACTATGTAAATTTTATTTACCAAACCGCAGAACCGTTAAATGGGTGTACTACAATTTTCTTAGGACAAAGTCAATAGGGTAAGGTAAAAGAGGTTCTTGTTCCACCTATTTACAAAACTTGAACCAATTACACTGCACAGTGCCGATTCTTAGAGCATCTTCAATGCCAAAATGTGCATGGTACACATGTGGCATGATAGATAACCACATAAGTATTAACAAATAAATTATCTTTCTCCTTATTTGAATGGTTTTATACGGTTTTGGTAAGTTTTTCTTGACAATGTCAAGAAGACTGTCTAGATCTTGACATTCTTGTTGACATTGCAAAGAAAATCTTACCAAAATTGTATAAAGTCATTCAAATAAGGAAAGACATAATTTATTTGTTAATATTTATGTGGTTAAAATCTCTCGTGCATCGTGCACATTTTAATGGAGATGCTCTTAACTTGAGAATTTAAAAGGCCTGAGCGGGTAGGTATATATAAAGACTCAACAGCTCCTCTCTCTCGTCAATGCCAAGAATCTATAAGCAGTGAGGAGCGAGTAGGTGAGACTCTCTTCCTCTTTTTCTTTTCTTGTTTCTCATTCATTTCCATGGACCTCAGCCATTGACTGCTTCAGATTTGGATCATTGTATTGTGCAAATAAAAAAAGGAACCATTTTTTTGTATGGCATAACAAAATAATTAAGCCCCACCTGGTCTTTGGATCTTTTATTAAGTTTCATATATAGATAGATTGTGCTGCAGATCTATTGAAATATGCCAAAATAGTAGTTATCTTTCTGACTTTCTGTCTTTTCTTCTATCTTGCTTGCTTTCATGGTGACCAATTTGAGGCTTGTTTCTTACACCAGGTTTTGAAATTATGGATTTTTTTGAGAAACCCGAAGCTCAGCTTTTTATTGGGGTTGCCGTTGCTCTGCTCGCTGCTGCCGCTGCAGCCTATGTATACTCTTCCAAGAAGCCCAAAGGTATGAACTGTAATTTCCCGTATTCTTACAAAATAAGTAGTATAATCTTGCAAATTCGAATTCAGTTTTTAATATTATTTTATTGATATGTAAGTGCATAAGAGCTTGTATATTTGATCACTTTATAAAATCTGAGGTGGTCTCTCCGAAAAGAAGAATTTCCCTCTGCATGTGTTTAACCATTGATGTGGTCTCAGTTATATAATTTCCCCTCTATTGAGCATTCTCTTGAATTTGGTTATTTTAAGGAATAAATAATAGAATGAAATGCATGGGTGCGTAGGTGTTTTGGATCCTGAGAAATTCAAGGAATTCAAGCTCGTGAAGCGTACACCTTTGAGTCCTAATGTGGCAAAGTTTAGATTTGAACTTCCAACACCCACTTCTGTTTTGGGCTTACCCATTGGACAGCACATTAGTTGCAGGTTTGTTTGGAACTCTGGAACTTCTAGGGAAAGACACTAGGGAGGAAAGTAGAGAGAAAGATCGGAAGGAAAGATTTTTTTGAGGAAAATAGAATATTTACACTCAATCTGGAGTAGTTTATTTTAAATATTTGTTCAAACTCATTATTATTATTATTTTAATTTTTTTTTGTTTCTATGAGCACTAAATATATCTCAGTATATAATACCTCTGTCTCATTAAGTATGGGACCATGGGGTTTCACACAAAATTTTAGGGAAAGTAAGATTGTATGGTTGGTATTGAATTTGTTACAGTAAGGATGAATGTGAACCACAAACTAAGACAAAATTTATTTTGGGCGCCTTAAAATGGAAAGGCAAAACAAACAAAAGGTAAGTACGGGTTTGGAGATCCAAAAAATATCATTTACATTGTACTCCACATAAAGTGAGACATAATAAAGTTAACTTTTCTCAGCATCCCAAAACACAAATATCCAAAGTTTCCTTCGGATAGCATTTTCTGCTACCCAAATCTAGTGTTATAGTTTGATGGAACTAGCTAATTCGTTGCCAACAAATTTAATGGTTCCGTCCTGCTGTTGTGTTAAGCAGGGGTAAAGACAGTCAAGGTGAAGAGGTTATTAAACCATACACTCCAACTACCTTGGACTCTGATGTTGGATATTTTGAATTAGTCATTAAGGTATAGCAGAAGAATTGTAAAGCAAAAGAAAAAGAAGTAGTTAGACTTGTCATAGTAGGGAAGTGTTAACATTTCCTTGATGCAATGCATAATGTATATGTAGATGTATCCACAAGGAAGAATGTCTCATCATTTCCGAGAGATGCGTGTGGGTGATTATATGGCTGTCAAGGGTCCCAAGGTAAATCTCTAATGTTCGCATTTATTATTATTATTCTTGTTGTTGTTGTTGTGGTGGTGGTTTTTATAATTGTGTCAGGTTGTCTTCATGCTTTCCTCCTTTTCTTCATTTTTGAAGAGATAGTTTTATTGACGAAGGGTAGCAAATGGATGATTTGGACAAAGTTTGTTTTCTGATTAAAACAGGTGGATTGGGAAAAATACACTTAAAATCCATTAAAAGCTCATCAAACATACCATCCATCCATTTACAATTTTGTCCCAGATGAATATACATTCCATCCATCCATTTACTTTCTCATTCATGTTCAGAAACAATTTAACAATACATATAATGATACTTTGGCATGTATATACGTATATTGTAATTAATCAAGAAATAAATCATTAATAAATGTGAAAATTCAGTTGGTTTTATCAAATAAAATTGTGATCCAATATATTAAAAACGATGATGGAAAGCATTATTAAATTTTTATTGAATGGTGTAAAAAAGGATTATTTTGCTACCGCGTAGAAGGATGCAGTGTTGTTGCTTTAAAAATGTTTCCCTTAAACTGTAAAAAAGATTTGTCTTTTCATTGCTTCATGTGCTTTCCTATTTGAAGATGTTCAAATAGGCACTGGAGCGTATTCGAATATTAGAAATTAGATGACCTTTTTACTTATCTAGAAAACTTGAATTTTAAGTGGTTAAGCCAGTGAAATAGAGGTGACATATGCATCAGGGGTTTAGCCATTGTGGGTATACATCAGAGTTTTCACTTTGTCATTGGCTCCCTTTGCAACCCTATTTCCCATTCTTGGCTAATAAATAAAGCTTCTCTTGTCTGTCACAGGGTCGTTTTAAGTATCAGTCTGGCCAGGTACGTGCTTTCGGGATGCTTGCTGGAGGCTCCGGCATTACCCCAATGTTTCAGGTTTGTCATCATTTATGTCAGGATTATGCAACTTAGCTTTCTAAGCAGAGTTTTGTAATAATGTAATTAAACTTTTAATAAAAAATAAAGATAAGCAAGAAGAAAGTGGCTGCTGGCATCTTATCTCTTTTTTGGCCTCTGTTTAGGTTGCTAGAGCTATTCTTGAAAATCCGAACGACAAGACGAAGGTGCACCTTATCTATGCCAATGTAAAATTTGAAGATATTCTTTTAAAGGTAATTTACAATGTACCAATCCCCCCCAATTTTCAACACTGGTTTATGAACTCAGGACACTTTGTGAGGCTAATAAATTACATATGTGCTCGAAATGAACGATACTATATCTATAAGTTGACCATTAAATGACCAATGTTAGAATTTTTTCACTGCCCAAACTTTCAAGTAAACCGCATTCAATAGGTAATACGTTTTAAAGTAAGGTTGGGCATCATTGTTCAGTCTTCCAGATTTGCATTTTTATCACTAAAAGGGTTGCATTTAGAGAGACTTTGCATTATCTTTTGCAGGAAGAGTTGGATGGACTTGCTGCTAGCTATCCCGATCAGTTTAAAGTTTACTATGTGCTAAACGAGGTCAGCATGGTTTCTTGATTACTTTTCTTCTATGTATGTCTAGGTTCTTTGCTTTTAGGCTTTTAGCCCTTATGAACTTTTTCTTTTCATTGTTTTTTGTTAGAGATCTAATGAATATGTTTTTCTATATCCCGAGTTGAGTACAGTAGTTAACTTTTTGAATGCTTCTGCAGCCCCCTGCAGTATGGAGTGGTGGTGTTGGTTACGTATCAAAGGAAATGATCCAATCCCACTGCCCTGCACCCGCATCTGATATTCAGGTTTCTCCCGATAGCTGCATTTGAGTGTTATTATTGTTGTTTTTTTTATTACGCAGTATTATTTATTGTTATACTGTGAGTTCTAGAGAGCACATTTTGATTTGATGATGAATGTGCAGATACTGAGATGTGGGCCACCACCGATGAACAAAGCCATGGCTGCTCACCTTGACGCATTTGGTTACACATCAGAGATGCAATTCCAATTCTAGAACCTGTGGTTCGAGTGTTCTTTCTTCTTCAAAATGTTGCATTAGGACAGTGTGCTTCTCTGCAATAATAATTGAGATCCTTGATGGGCAATGGATTTTATTATATTTCAAGCAATTGCCAAGATTTGGATATGAATTTTGAGTTATAAAAAGGCTGAAAATAACTCTAGGCTTTTTACTGATACGTCTATTTATCCTGTTGATATCAGGACTCATAAAAATATAAAATGAGTTCAATTAGGGGTAGAATGTGGACCCAGTTCTGGAATGGAACTGCAATCAAATGTGGATCAGTGTCCGAAAGCGGTCGAACCTGGGTAGTGGGTACTACGTTTAAGTTCCTTCAAAGTAGGACCCAAAAATGGAACTGGACCCCGACTCGTATGCAGAGATAATGGTCTCAAACTATCAGCTGGGGATCTCAACCTGAGCCTCTAAGTTGAATCAGTATAATAGATTATTTTGATCCATGAGTTCAAGTGTTCAACCATGGGTTCTCAAGCTCTGTACCATTGGGCTTTCATAGTTGTTTATAAGCTCTGTATCCTAGAGTCGGACTCCGTTCTGAGCCGGTATGTTGCGAATAGGACTATAGGAGTAGGGGATGTTGGAATGTATCTTAATTGGGTAATAGGGTCTGGGTTTAAAACTTTTAGACGATCTTACATTCTTACTAAAGAAGTGTAACCGATTAAGTACGTTTTGGACCGTTTTGATCCATTTTTCACTATATCTAATTTAAAAAGAAATTTTCTCTCTCCAGAATATAATCTAAATATTAACTTTAACTTCATGAAAAAATTGTATTTGGAAGAAGTTAAGAATATAAAGGGAAAAAGAATAGTAATTCGGATTATTATTATAGATATTATAATGAACTTTGATGTTATAAAGTTACAGCAAGTACTAGTGTAAAGCCCGGGCAATGCCCCGGTAGTGAATCATTCACATGACACAAACTTTAATATAACACATTTTTACTATGATCTAATCACAAACAATAATACATTTTATATTCTTAAAATTACAAAAAAAAATACTAAAATACAACATATTTATCATTTTTCACAAACAATAATACATTTTATATGTTATAAGATAACTTCAAGGGCTACAAATGATATGAAGACACCTTTGCAAGAATCTGAGAGGAAGAAGGTGAAAACAGACGATGAAGTCATATGATCTCTGCTGCGATTTCAGAAAGACACCTTCCACCGTTTTGATCATATCTCTTTATTGGATAATTTAAATCACATTCGGCAAATTGGGGTGGATAGAGAACTTTATTATCTACAACTTTCATGAAGAAAGCATAGCCAAATTCGGAAAATAAGTAGGCACGATCGTGCCCTCAAAGTCAAGCACGATCGTGCGTGAAGAGAAAGCATCGCGGAGTTACTGCCAGCCAGGCACGATCGTGCCTGGAGGGAGGCACGATCGTGCCTGCCCAAAATGCGCGTTTTTGCTCCGGAGGCACGACCGAAGGCACGATCGTGCCTGCCTCCGGAAATCCCAATTCAGCTCAAATTTCACCCGATTTTTCTATTTAAACAGCTTGTAAACCCCCGTTTTCAAGTGGGGAGGTTAGAGAGAGTGCCTAGCACAAATTTTAGAGGGCTTTTCAGCCTTGTTCATCAATCTTTTGGGATTCTTTGTAAGTTCCACCTTTTTAATTAATGACAATTAATTCTTTTTATTCCAATTCTATTGATTCTTCAATTATGAATTGTGAGTAGTTTTAATTAGGGATTTGGGATTGATGAAGGGGTTGATCATGATTGATGGCTAGATTCTTGATAGGTTAATTGCATGAATGTCATTTAATTTGTGTTTGAATAATCTAACTGATATCTCTTGTAACCTGGAACGACCGCTAGAATTACAATTGCCTGTAGCATAAATTAAGAGAGATCTAGTTTATTCTAGGACACATTCACACACACTTAATCGTTCGCTAAGAGATTAGTAGCGATTAAGGGGCCGTAAGCTCGCTCGTCTTGGCAATAATTTAGGATCATGTCGCATGAGAGATCAGCCTGGTCCCCTAAATTATTGTACTCTACGCCGCGAGAGCGGTAAGAACTTAGTAATGATTAGCTAGGCTCAATTGAATTAATTTCATGTAATTAAGTCTGATCTGCCAGAAATCTGGTTACCCCGGAATCAATCCTTGTTCCCTTCGTCATTAATTAGAAAGAACCCCCTAGTTTAATCGTTTTATTCGCATTTTTATTTTCCGGCAACCAATCTCGCACGACGCATTTTTATTTATTTCTTTTTAATCGCTGAATTTAGTTAATCTTTGATTCCCTTTTGTCCGTCCCTGTGGAGACGATACTCGTACTTACACCACTATATTACAATCTATTTTAAGTGAGAGAAAACTCACATCATAGATTCTTTGTCTTCAGCATACTTCTGGCCATATTTAGTACTTACCTATTACGTCTCTCTGCTATTCCATTGTGATGTGGGGTGTAAGGGGGAGTGGTTTCATGCACAATACCCTGATCCTTACAGAAATTAGCAAACTCCCCATTCACATATTCTCCTCCACCATCTGTTCTAAGCCTTTTCAGGCTATTACCAGTTTGTTTCTCAACCAGGTTCTTAAACCTCACAAACATATCAAACACCTGTGACTTCCTTTCTAACAGATAAACCCACATTCTTTTGATAAAATCATCAATAAAGGAGATAAAGTATTTGTTACCTCCAAGTGATGGAACTTCAAATGGTCCACAGACATCATAATATACCAGCTCCAATATAGCATTTGCTTTAGAAGGAAGCCAGGTTTTGAAGGGGTTTCTAGCTTGTTTACCTGCCATACATCCATCACAAATCTGATGTGTCACAGTGATTGAAGGGAGCCCATGTACCATACTGTCAGTGGCGGACCCACTAAGGGTCCCATGGGGTCCCGGGACCCCGTGGACTTCGAAAAATTTACCTATATATATTACATATATATATTTTACAATATTAAGTGTTAAATGTATATATAAAACAAAAGCGAAATAAAGAACAAATGGCTGCGGCGGAGGGATGGGAGCATGCACTTGTTTAAAACCTCCTGATGCGAGAGGTACCGGGTTAAAATCTACCCTCATGTATCTTTTTTGGCCCATGAAAGCTGCATTTTAAAACACCAAATGATGTCGTTTTGGTCCATTTTTTATTTTTTAAACCCCTACCAACCGCAGACCACAACAAATCTATTGTCATCAGCGTATCTCACTCAGACCTCCACCACTTCTTATTAATTCATTTTTTTAATTAATTATAATTTTTTTACCTAATGTAACAGATTTATGTATTTATGAATGTTTTTTTCGAAATTTTACAATTTAAGATGAAAAGATATTTCGGTAGTGTACTCAGATTTAAAGAAGTTCGAAGTACTGAGAGTAGTTAAGATATTAATTCAAATGATTCGCCTTTAGTAACTAAAAAATTCGATCATGTACTTGGTGAAAGTGAAACTACTTTGACCTATAATCTACATAAACAACATGTTGATTTCATCCTAGTGTTCAAGACGAGGTATGTCGTAGTTACCTTCAAAAAGGGTCGTTTAACTCTCTGGATCATGATTTCCTTTTTAAAGTAATTGTTGCTAAAAACGTATATTTGTTTCAAGTTCATTTGATGAGCACAAATGGTTGGAATATAGTATTTTCAAAGATGCAACATTTTAAAATGAGTTGGAAGTTGGTGGTAATTATTTTTTGGGAATAGGATTTTCAGCATGGAATAAAAAAGACAAGTTTTATGTACATGTTGAATACATTAACTATGAAACATTATGCTTGATATTTTTCTTTAATTTTATATTATTAAGAGTTATATTAATTTAGGGACCCCGTGACTCTGATTTTCTGGGTCTGCCACTGCATACTGTGACTAGAGGGTTGAGCCAAGCTTCTGAAATTCAAGTGTCCCATCCTGAGATGCCAAAGCCAGTTATCTTCAGTGATCACAGAGGATAAACATACTCTCTGAACTGGTGTAATGTCAACCTGAAAGGTTCTATTCTTCTTCAATGGTGCTTTAAGTATCAAATATCCCTCAGGGCTGTACATTGTCATTGATTTGTCTTTCAGTTTAATCTCAAAGTTCTTCTCAGACAGCTGACCCAAACTCAGTAAGTTATGTCCAAGATTTGGAACATAAAGTACATCTGAAATTACTGACATCTTTCCATCCTTCCTTTGCACCTGTACTTTGCCCTTTCCTTGTGCCATGATAGTAGTTAGGTTTGCACAGGTAATTTTGAGATTCACATTCTCATCTAGTTCCACACACCAGTCCCTTCTACAACTCATGTGATTGGAATATCCTGAATCTAAATACCAGGAGTTGATGGACTCATTCCCAGTTTTAGCTACAGTTGTTACCATAAGGAGTACATTATCATCATCAGAATCATCCTTCTTAGCTACATTGGCTTCTTGTTCTCTGTCATTATGATTAGGTCTGCCCCAACATTCATTCGCATAATGCCCATATTTTTCACAATTATAACACTGAATAGAACTCTCATCATGATATTGTCTATCATTATTACCTTTTCCACGACCTCCTCTCCATTTATTGCCTCTGCCACAAGTACCACCACCCCTTCTAGAGGAAGATTGTTCATATTTACTCCCATGAAAATCTCTGCCACGGCCTCTGCCACCTCGTGAGGAAGTTCTTCCTATGCCGCGTCCTCTTCCTCTCGAACTTTTATCATTTTCATCCTTCTTACTGGTTGATTGTGCAAGTAAGACCTTGTCAGTGGTGGTTTGCGTAGATTCACGCAATTCATGCTCTTTAGCTCTCTGCTCAAAGAGTTCGAGAGATACCTGCAGATCCTCAATCTTAACTTCATCAAGATTCCAAGTTTCTTCAATCGCACTAGCCAAGAAATCAAACTTCTGATTTAACGTTCTCAGAATCTTTTCAACGAATGCTCGTTCGCTGGTATGTTCACCACAAGATTTCATGATGTTAACCAGAGTCTGAACTCGAGTGAAATAAGCAGCAATAGTTTCATTATTCTCCATCTGCACTAGCTCGTATTGCCTCTTCAATGTCTGAAGACGAATCTTCTTCAGTTTCTCTACCCCAGCATAACTACGTTCTAGGGCATCCCAAGCCTCCTTGACACCCTTCGCTCCTGATATTTTCTCAAAATTAGCATTGTCAATACATTGCTGGATGTAAAACAAGGCTTTGTAGTCTTTCTTCTTCATGTCTCTGTGCACAGCTCGTTGTGCCTCAGTTGCGTTTGCAACCAGTTCTGGACAACGTAACCATTCATTACCACATCAAGTACTTTCTGAAAGCCAAAAATTGTCTTCATCTTGATGCACCACCGATCATATCCGTCTAGGTTTTTGATGTCCAACATCGGAAGATTTCCAAGCAAATTTCCATTGGCCATTTTCCCCACAGATCCGATCTTGGGCTCTGACACCACTTCTTGGAGCACAACAGAATAAACGAGAGAGAAGAGAGATGATGAATGAGGCAACCGTCTAACTGTTATTGATCAACAACTCCTTATATCAGTTTTTACAAAAAATAACAAACACACATATGGACTTCAGTCCATTTATTACATGGGCTGTAAAACAACAACAAGGCCCAAACAAAAATAATGCAGAATTATCAACTGCCCAACACCCTTTTGCTATATTATTAAAAAAAAGGTGATCTCTTTGTTTCATTGATAACAAAGTTCGACACATTGAGCATCAATTTTCTCCTCCGCCTGGAGCATCTAAGCATCTTTTGTTGGCAACCGATGGACCGTATCTTAGATCCACCGTTTGGAGCATCTTATTGTATTCGGAGGCTATTTTTGTAATTTAATAAAATACTATCTTAAGAATCACTTTTTTATCAAACACTCTAACTTTTATCTTTTAATAAAAATCACTTGTATTTCCAAACACTACCTACTTTTACTTTAAAACACTTTTCCAATAATCTCTTAAAAATCACTTCTAAAAAGCACAAGCAAACGCAAACACTCCCTTAGGAGTATTGGAAACCCTCCAACTCTTGGTGTTTCCAATCATCTACTACCTAATTATTTGGCTGCTTGAGATGAAGGTGATTCAAAAAACTATTCACCAAACATGCTATTTAGCTGATAAGCCATTTATCATATTAATGTTCATATTAATACCCCTCCTTCCCGCTAGAAGGTTCCCGTTACGATCTACGATTCTTGACTGGCGATAAAGCAACTTAATCCTTGTTCACACTCTGATTATTTTTAGTAAATAATAAAATTAACATATTCAGAAACTACATTAAAACCGCTAAAAAGCCTAATAAAAATGTAAGTTTGATAAAAAAATTGATATATAAAGTAAAAAAATTAAAAAAGATTTAAGTTGACCGTGTGAATAGTGGACGGGAACCTTCTAATGGAACATAGGTAGTATATATTACTGTGTATCATATACAAAACAAGTCTTTTAATTAATATCTTATTTTAAAAAAACGGAGTACATTATATTGAAAGAGATAATATTACTCATTTAATTTATAATTTTACCATTCATAATATTGCTCCGAATCAGCGCAGAGCAATGAGGATCAGTTTTTGACACAAATAATGGGTATTTGATGAACAGTAAAAATAAATGAATGAATTGTTTAATAGGAGTATCTGAAAAGTACTTTGGTTTTAATGAATTGGGTACAAATGATGAGGTATTAAACACTCTTGTAGTAATTTGGTTTTATAGAAACTTAAAATCAAAACCAAACACATAAATGTACGGTTTACTAATAAAACCCAGTTTTTGTGTTAGAAAGCTTAATGTACGGTTATATAATGTCACATAAAAACAAAAATCTGATAAAAAGATTCACATACAATTGTTTTAGGTTAGTCCAACTCACTTAATTATAGCCCGACCCGTTTAACATGCAATTCATTTAAGAACTGTGGAGAGGAAGTTGAATTACAAGATAAGCACTCATGCATAGGCATAGTCAAGAAGGTATACTTGACTGAACTGATACCAAGAATTTAAAAAAAAAAAAAATCTTTTAGCCAAAAAAATTTACTTTAATAATTTAAAGAGAAGTTGAATTTGGAATGAGTCAAGGTCAAAGTTGCCGCTAGACACGCCACTGCAAGCACTAATATACATTATTTAGCATTGAAATGCGGAAACATTTCTTTCTTTCTTTCCACCGTATGTGGGACAAAGTGTAGGTAATTAAGGATAGACTCATAGAATTTGAAGTTGAATAAAAAAATTTGAGAATAGACTTGAGGATATGAATAGGCTTAGGGGTAGTTAATTATGCGCATCACTTGAAATCTTGGACTGCAGGAGTAGTTTGTAAAATATTGGATTCATGGTGATAGCCTTACTACACGCTAGGCGTGAGAGTGGGTATTAAAGTAGTGTTTTTTTGTGCAGAATTATTACATGCTAAATTCTTATGAGATCTTCTAAATAATTAATGAAACATCATACATGTTTTTAAAAATTATTGGATCAATTATATTCCATAATTGTATTCCAAGTTAACCAAGTATTTTGTGGAAAAGGAATACTTTATGAAAAAGAAAGTTGATATCGCAAATAAACATATTGGAAGCAAGTTGTGAAGTAACATCATATTTTCACCAAATAAGGAAATGGGTCATTGCTCTCTAGTCTCTACTCACGCATGGCGACCTTTGACCAAGCTCCTTGATGTTTTATTTCTTATTTTTCTTGTGTTTTTATTGTTTTCCCTTTTAAATTTAGTAGGAAAAATTGAAAATAATAATCCCAACTATTGCCGGTCCGCTCACAATAATCTCAACTATTGATTATTTTTGTATAATCCCAACTATATGGACCGTCCAACAACAATGGTCAATGACTAGATAACAAGTGAATTTCAAATAGAAATTAAACGTAAAAATTAAAAGTAGGATTATTTATATGGATTACTTGTTATATCTCTTCTCATCGACTTTAGAAACTATAGGAATTTATTCATAGCCGGTCATGTCGGACCATTATTGGCGGAAGGTCCATAAAGTTAGAATTATTCTGAAATAATCGATAGTTGAGATTATTATAAGCGGACCGCTAATAGTTGGAATTATTACTACCAATTTTTATAATTTATTATTGCAAATACATAAAATAGAGCATCTACTCCGGATGCTCCATTTACAATCTTAAATGGAATCTTATTACATCTCATGTTGTGGTTTTCAATCTTAAAATGCTAAACTTTGATTTAAAATGTCATAGATGAATCTAAGAGCTCCCCAATTTGATGTGGAATAATATATACCATGATTCGGAACTGAACAAGTCTGAATTGTTAAATGTCCCACACCGGAAAATTGAGAAGCATTAGAGTGCTATATTAAGCTTCGGACTACTCCTCCTAACAGGTTGACCTTTTAAGATGGAACCCCGAGTCTTAACATGGTATCAGAGCCAAATCAATCCATGGTGTGGGACCCCTTATGAAAAATGACGACGCGATTAAAAAAAAATGACGGCCGATGAAAAAAAAATGAATGACAACACGATCCAGACGAAGTGTCTGGTCGTGAGGAGGAGTGTTAAATGTCCCACACCGGAAAATTGAGAAGTATTAGAGTGCTATATATTAGAGTGCTATATTAACATTCGGGCTACTCCTCCTAACAGGTTGACCTTTTAGGATGGAACCCCGGATCTTAACATGGTATCAGAACCAAATCGATCCATGGTGTGGGGCTCCTTATGAAAAATGACGACACGATAAAAAAAATTGACGACCGATGAAAAAAAATGAATGACGACACGATCCAGACGAAGTGTCTGGTCGTGAGGAGGGGTGTTAAATCACTTAAATGTCCCACACCGGAAAATTGAGAAGCATTAGAATGCTATATTAAGTTTCGAGCTACTCCTCCTAATAAGTTGACTTTTTAGGATGGAACCCCGTGTCTTAACATGAATATATAAAAGTCAATTTTTTACTATTACGGATGAAAAGGAAAAATACATGTTCTTTTGTTAGGGTGGCAATACATCATTGATAATTTGATATCGTGTATGTTTTCATTCAGGGGCATTTACCAACTTATATCCTTTTTACTAAAACGAGTGCGAAGTTATAATCTCTTACTTTTACACTTACATTATTTTACCACTGCATTGAATGAGATAATGCATTATGCATGAGATGGACTGATGTGACTCATCACTCATGTGAGTTGCATTTTTGTTCGGAACAACAAAAGCTCAATAGGCATTTTATATTTTTATGTTGGGATAAAATTGCCAAATAAAGAAAAGTCAGACTAAATAAATAAGTTTTCGGACAACATTATTAAACAGCACGGAGTATAACTGTATAAGTATTTATTGCTCCGCATTAGAGTAAAATGGCAGTACAAGATCATTTAGACAAAAAGAAAATATAATCAAAATCACTCCATTTAAACTGAACTCCAACGATATGTCCATAATTAGATATGAAAAACCACGCAGTGTCAAAAAGAACGAATGTGCACTATTATAATCTGCCTTAAGTAGCAAGTTATTAGTCACGGACTCACGGGGTATTTTTCTAAGAAAATTTTGAAAAAATTGGTAGCAAGATACTTAAAGTAACCAGTTCTACTCGGATTGTTATTGTCAAAATTTCATTGCACATAAAAGTTCTATTACTTAACATTCTCACCATTTGCATGGCCTTCTCTGCAGTCTATATCCCCCATAAGCATGGGCGGAGCTAGGGGTGGGCCAACCTAGGCCATGGCCCACCCCAAATTTCAAAAAGTTTTCTTGCTACCGGCTCAGTCCGTCCTAGTGCTCTGACTCTGCCCCTGCCCATAAGACTTGATACTATGTACTACTCATTACTACCTATGAATTTACAAAATTAAAATAATATCATGAGCAATTGTAGCAAAAATGGCATTCCAAATGATAACCTAACATGAGAATCACTGTTAGGTCATACGCTAGTGTCGAGCATGTCAGAGGCGAGTTTTGGATCTCAAGCGCCACCGCTTATGGTTGGTCAAAGACACCTCACCAAAGCCAATCAACAGAAAGAAAGAAGGATGCACCCTTGAAGAAAACCAGATCATGAACTGCAAGTGATTGTGCTGGAACAAAATAAATTTGCAGTTAAACATATGCACTAATAATGACCCAAATGGTTACACGACGTGTTCTCAATAAAATAGACGACAATTGGAGATCCAATTTATAACAAAAGACCATACAAGGATTTTCAAAAAAAAAAAACAAAAGACCATACAAGGAATTAGACCTACATTTGCATCTTGAGGAAGGCAAAATTGGATGGACACGAGCACACTACTCCCGTGTGTGCTCCCGCCTACCGCATCCATCTTGTCATCTTCATCGACATTATTTTCCTCCTCTTATTAGCTTTACTCTTAGAAGCAATTCTCATCTTCCTCTTGGCGTTTTGCATTGGATTTACAACAGCCATAACTTTCTCTTCTTGTTTCCTTTTGTCCCTTTTTGCCTTGAGACCTTTACCTATTTGTCCGTACACTCTAAAATATGTCTGCCTTCCAACAACTTTTTGTACAGTTTCACAAACTTCTTGAGCTAATTGCTTCACATCATCTGCAAAATCGAGAATACAACTAAATGCATTGCAACACAAAATTTTGAACGAGTAATCTAACCAGTCCATAAGTCGCGCATAGAAAAATTACCTGAAATTACTTTCCCGGCAAGTCCTTCACAAATTTTGTAAAGAGGTAGCAGCAACTGATGTGCATAGCTCTGGCAGTCAACCTCGCCTTCAGAGGTTAATACCTTTGATTGGTCAATGAGTTTTGTTGAAATTGCTTTGAAAGAATTGAGCACAACTCTCGCCTGCTTATGATAACTAGATAAGTATGTGATTGATAACAAACTTTTATTAAAAAGCATAGCTAATCAGTGAGGAGAAAATGTAGTATATAAGAATTAGTAAGATGAGGATCGAGGTTTTTTATAGAAATAACCCTACCGTCCTAAAAAGTTCTCTTTTCGGTTTACAGTGTTTGATAGATCATAGATGATAAAGTTAACAAATCCCTACTGATATTCAAATTAGTATCAATCATTAAAATTTACATATTTAGAAACTACACAAAAGTTTTAGTGAACCTCAAAGCCAGATTCTAATATGGTAACACTTTTATGTACTACCTCCGTTCTTAAATAATTGCAACATGTTGAATTATTTCTAATGCATTAAAAAATTAATTTATTTAAATAGTATTAACTTCTTCTCACTTTATATTTTTAAAATATGATTTTTTAAATTTGTCTAGTAAAAAGGGATTTAAATATGACGCACTAAACTGTGTGTGCTTAATTGTTATGAAGCAGTAGTCAGTCCATGCAATTTTCGACGCGATTTTCACCACGAGTCATCCAAAAACAGTCTATGTGCTTTAGTACTGGGGTTAGACTGCGTACATCCAAACCCTCTATATGAATAAAAGGTAATGTTGTTATTGTAGGGATTTAAATACATTGATGTCAAAGTTGTGCGTTGATAAACGTAAAAATAAAAGTATTGCAACTAAAAAAGAATGAAGGAATATGAAAGTATAAATTAAAAGGAAGTCAAATTAACCGCATGAATACTGAATGAAAACTTCAATTTTGGATTGGAGGTAGTATTAACAAGCTACATCTGGACAACAGTAAACCATGCAAATCAATAAACGTTATTCTCCCCGTTCTGTATTAAAAGGAATTATAGTTCCATGGATGCATGCCTACATGCATGTATGTATTCTGTGTTTCTTACAAACCTGCACTGCTTCCATCTGAATAGGAATCTTCCCCATTCGCTTAAGCAAGTTGGTGATAAGAATAGAGCCTTGGTACTCAGCTTTATGTACACTGTCGTTGAGATGAAAGTTGAAAGATGTATATATGCTCCTTCCCTTTTTTGGATCAAGTAAATTAAAGGCTTTTACTAAGCGGCTTTGTTCATCAGGTCCAAAGGCAGAATCACCACCATCATGTTTGGAGCCTACTAGTAATCCATGTAAATGACAAATGGCAAATATGAGATTTTGTGAAATCAGGGTCCCAGCAGCATCATCAACTGGCTGCACATTCAGTTGAGATATAAGAGAAACGGCAATGTGGAAGAGTCTACTCGGTCCCATTAAGGAAAACGACTCAAGCACTTCAGTTTCTTTGTAACACTCAGCCACTCTGGCGAAGTACAAAGCTATAAGGCGGCACGATATGTTGCGCACCCATATGTGCGGATATAGAAGGAAGTCACAGATTGTTTCCCACGTATCCTGAAAATTTAGACAAAAGGGGAAAGAAAGAAATAAAAATAATCAATAAAAGACTGACCATGGAGGTTAAACAGAAAGAAAAGATTAATGATTCATAAAAGAGGGCAGCCCGGTGCACATTAGCGTCCCCACAAGGAGAAGGTCAGGGGAAGTTCCAGTTGTCCCATCACATGGGTGTATAAGGGGTAATCCTTCTCTTGCCAATTTGACAAGCCGCTACCAAGACTTGAACGTGTGACATTTCCATCACACAGTAACACCATGACCAGTGCGCCAAAATTAATTATTCATAGAGAGGGTTAATAAGTTGGTATTTCAGGAGAATGGCACGCGGAAAGACAAGTTGATACCTCAAGCTCTTTTGAGAAGCACAACGAAATAAATTGATGCAGAATCTTCTCTAACAAAACCAATGAATAATATACTTCTTTCCAGAGGGGAATTGCTTCATCAGATATGCACAACTGTTTATTTATTATAACATTAGCAGCAGATTGCAAGATATTTCCAATTACAGGCAAAACTTGAGCAACATGCTCCTGAAAGCTGTTCCCCATCACTTCCACCAGTAACCCCAAAACCTGAGCACAACATAATAAACACAACGTTTACATCATTAAAAAAGGAGGTCACACGCCCATGTCAAAATCCTAAAGTTTCATTATTTTCGGTATTCTTTTCTGCATGACAAGCTATAGATAAGATGACTACCTTGACATTTCTCTCCCCAAGTATAAAAGCAATGAGAAGCACCAAGTAGATGAAAATCTAACTACAGAGAAAGACCACAACAACAGTACAACACTACACGGTAACTTGGATAACAAAATACTGAGGGTGGTTTAGGTGGACCTTAACAACATTAAATGTCATGCAACCAAATATACTTCATGCAAATTTAGATTACATGTTCATTTGATTAGGTTGAACGTCATTGCCAGGCCAGGAAACTTCTAAAAGAAAGGTCCCTTATAGGGTATGGGGAGGGTGAGATGTACGCAAGTGCATACTTACCTGTTTCTCCCAGTATATACTTTAATAGAAGACATAAAAGCTAACAGATCAAGAATTACAGCGACAGTCATAGTATTAAAAATTGAAATTTCACACGAAATATCTTCACAGCACCAACAAATAACTTAACACAGGTACACAACCAAGTAACAGAAATAAGATGCTAACCAGGTAAACAATTATGTCCAATTATTTGGCATTTGAACCGCAAAAATGGTTAAGCCCGGAAATAATCAGGGAACCGCATAAACCCGCTCCGGAACCGACCAACTCAAAAAATGGGAAATGCCAACAAACCGGACAGAATTGTTGCCTACAGATATCAAACCCGTGTTGCTGCTGCTTTGCATTAGACCTGTTGACCGCTATGCTACACCTCATTCGTGGTACCAAACATTACTTTGTTTTGTATATACCTTTTATGACCCATGACCCTTTTTTTTACTCTAGGGAGGGTCTGGGGGAGGGGGGAGGGGGGAGCCTGGAGTAACCAGGGCTGAAACTCATTCCATTTAGTTTCAACCCCTTATGTGCCTAGCGGGTTTTGAACCCGAGACCTCTCGCTAGGCACGGTAACCTCACAACCAGGTGGGCTGGGATGCTTGGTTCCCATGACCCTTTTATTAAATACCAAGTATTAATTAGCTACTGAATCAATTAAATAATACATTGTGTAAAATTAATAACACGTACAAAGTACAAACTAGTTGTATTACTACACTTCCCAATAAGGTATATCAGCTTGTAAATATACTACTTCCTCCATATTTCTTTAATTTTTTTGTAATTGATGTTTTGTTCATTTTTATTATCCACATCATCTCAATTGTATCTTTAAACTTTGTTGAAACCAATATACTTTAATACATTAATTTTTTATTTTTCTCATATATTATTATTAATATTAAATTATGAGGTAACATAAATTTTCTATTTATGAATTTAATCCTTTATATAATTATAATTATAATTATAATTATAATTATAATTATATAAATATATTTACATATTTGTGTTGACCGGGTTTTCCGGTCGTTGATCGGGCTGACCCACCGGGTCCGGGTTGACCCGTGACCCAGTCATCTGTCCGGGTCACTCTCCGGTCCGGTTTTTACAACATAGAATTTATTGTGGGACACAGTGTAGGTAATTAAGGGATAGAAGTTGAATAACAAACTTAGAGAATAAACTTGAGGATATGAATAGGCTTAGGGGTAGTTACGCGCCATCACTTGGACTGCAGAAGTAGTTTGTAAAATATTGGATTCATGGTTATAGCTTTATTAATAAATGGTGGGAAAATAACTTTAAATAATACTCCCTTCGTCCCACTTTAAGGTTCCCACACGATTTACGATGTTTGACTGACCATAAAGTTAACTGATCCCTGTCATTAATAGAATTATTTTTAGTAAATAAAATTTACATATTCAGAAACTAAATTAAAACCGCTACAAAACCTGCAAAAAATAATTTAAATTTCATAAACTTTCGATATATAAAGTAAGAGATTAAGAACAATGTACGTTGACAGGAGAATAGTGTACGGGAACCTTTAAATGAGACGGAGGCAATGTTGTTAAGATCGCGATCCAAATCGCAGGATCGTACGTTTTTACGATCAGAATAGGGAGGTGCGAGCTGGATCGCTGCTGGGATCGGAAAACGCCCTAGGATCGTCGGATCGTCGAGTAAAGTCGTAACTCGTACGATTCTTCGATCTACACGAGTTGCGACTTCAAAACTAAAAAAGGGGAAGAAGTCGCGGAACCCATCGCCACTTAGGATGAACGAAGCCCAAGCGACACCTGCTGCAACGTTAATCCTCCCTGCTTCTTGCGCTTTAAATCAATCTTCCCTGCTTCGTTTTCTTCTTCTCATCTTTGTTCTCTTCTTTCGACCGCTTCGTCTCTTCGATGTACTCTGTTTTGTCCGCTTCGTCTCTTCGTTGTTCTATCTTTTCGTCCAATTTTAATTTTTTGGGACTGCTTTTTATCGGGTCTTTTGGGACTCCTCCTAATGAACTTGTTGTGTCAAATTAATATTCGTATGTTATTTTGTTGTCATATGTTTTGGAGTTTATCTTTGAAATTCTTGCCAAATGTTATTCAATTTATGTTAACTGTTGTATATAATTATATTATTAAATATAATTAAATATAATCTATATTATATAATTAAATGTTATTCAGTTTATATTTTATATAATTATGTTAAGTTGTTACGTTAACTGTTTTATATAATTATTACGTAGTAATATTAATAATTTAATATTAATCGGGAATATAAGTAGAATTGAATTGTATGTCTATATATATATATATATATATTGTATGGTAGGATCTTACGATTCGAGTTACGATCCCCGAGTTACGATCCCCTAGACCCCTTCCGATCCGTGCTAGGATCTCGAGTTTAACAACCTTGAACGGAGGGAGTATCAACTATCTTCCGTGAACGAAAAATAATACAAATTTTAGAAATAACTTTAAATAATATCAACTATTTGAAAATATTAGAAGTTAATAAGTGACCGTATTTCCAAATATCAATTATTTGATGATTTCATATTAGTTTTTTATGTCCTAAATGGCTAGATTTCTTGTCAAAAAGTGACTCTATTTTATTTTTGGTTTACATTCAGATGATTGGTATTATTAGAAGTTATTTCTAGAGTATGTATTATTCTTGGTTCATGGAAGATAGTTGGTATTATTTAAATTTATTCATCCTTAATAAATGGACTCGTAAATTGAAAAGTATACGAAATACAGTATCTATCAAAACATTGAGAACTGGTTTGATATTTGAACATGGCAACATGTAAAGATGATTAGATACTAACAATTGGATTACTGCGACCATTTGGAACCTATGATATTGCAAAACTATCATAATTTTTAGGAAAAATTGAAAATAATAATCCCAACTATTGTCGGTCCGCAGAAAATAATCCCAACTATTGATTATTTTTGTATAATCCCAACTATAGAGACTATCCGCCAATAATGGTTCATGACCATATATTACCTCTATAAAAAGTGAATTTTAAATAGAAATTAAGCGTAAAAATTAAAACTTGCGATTATTTATAGGGATTACTTGTTATATCTCATCTCATCGACTTTAGAGACTACAAAAATTTATTCATAGGGACCATTATTGGCGGAAGGTCCCTAAAGTTGGGATTATTCTGTAATAATCAATAGTTGGGATTATTATGAGCGGACCGTCAATAGTTGGGAATATTACTATCAATTTTTCCTAATTTTTATAAATAAATGAAATATACATTTTATAGTTCTTAAAATTTTATTTTGGTTTGAACATATTATGTACATTCCAAAAATAATGAATTTGAACCTCATTCATGTTGGTTCGGGTAGCTTTTGATTTTTTTCAAAATGGATCAGTTTACTACGATCACACAAGGATACTCCATACAAACTTTATCTAATGACATATTTCACAATCACAAATTAAAAATGACATTAGTGACAGCAACAGTATGTGACACCCACATTAACTGTAGTGATGCTAATAATCCTTACCTGTGCCGCAGAGCTCCATAAATGCTGTTTCCCACCCAGATACCAAGAAAAGCTAAACTCAAGAATAGACTTAAGTGAATGAGAGTTCACATGCCCTGCAAGTCGCTTTATAGCTGCACCAGCCATAGATCTGACTTTGTTATCTTGGTCATTAGCCAAGCATATTACTAGATGCATGAAAATAGTCTGAGATTGCTCATCTATTATGGTTGGGAATTTCTTTATGATAACATGAATCATTTCAAGAACAGCCTCCCTGCCAGTTGAATGTTCATATCTGCCAAGAAAGTTCTCAAATTAAACAACCATACACAGGAACATGCACAATATAAGTTGATATGAATTGTATGTAATCTTGCCTCAGATTTGCAAGTAAAAGATCAAGATGTTGTTGAAAACGTTTCTTAGAAATCTGATAGCGAAGTAAAAACTGCAGTAAAATCTGACTGCACTTCCTGCGGATTGATTCAACCTGACTAGTAACCATCAATTCTGAAACCCTCTTGACAACATCATATATTTCAGGAACCACCAACTTTCGGTTTATTATAGCTTTCAGTAGCGAGAGGGCCACAAAAGAAGGATTTCTTTCGAGATCAACAAAAACAGGGAATTGAACAAGTGATTGAAGTTGAGCTTCAGAAAGGGTCATTTTGGTCATACGCAAAAGCAGTGTTAGCAGTTTAGTGCATGATTCCATCAATGGAGTGCTGCCATTTACTGAACCTTGAGCAATATCCAACAATGAATTCTTTATATGGTCAGCCTCATTTTCAAGGGATGGCAAAGGTAGCCTCACTATTGAATATAGAGATTTTAGTGATGCAAATATGATATTTTCATATTTTGAACTTAAACAATTCCCTAAGAGCCTTACAAAAGGGTCTACCATTGATAACAACTTTTCATCCCCTTTGTCTAATTTCATGTTTCTCAGGTAGTTCTGCAGTACCCCAAGAGCAAATTCTGTAATCAAATAAGAATATTGCCTGTCAACATTGACCAATCTATTTGAATTAGTGTTTTCATCCCTCGCTGCATCTTTATCTTGTAGGCTTTCACGACCAAAATGTTCATCAGTTAGGCCATCTTTTATGAGACCATATACAAACACAAAGAGTTCCTTCTGATTCACTGATGGGTTGCATTGAATACCAGCAGCGATATGTTTCAGCATGTTCTCCAATTTTGGCTTCACTTTTGGACTCAAATGCTTCTGTAGATGTATGGTAACAGGTGAAAGTAGCTTTATGGCATGGGCTTTGAAAGTGATGTTCTGAGCAATCATCTTGAGGGTCTCGTAGGACTTCTGCTTTCTAGTCTCTTTCATTTTTGAAGCAATCTTCTCCACTTCTTTTTCTTCTGAAACATCCCCAAGAATATCATTCTCCACAACATAAAGAAGATCTTCCAAACAATAGTCCAAGTTAAGGCTAGTAGGATTTAGTAGAAATTTTGTCAATATAAAATTCAACGTGTATCCCAAAACATGCAACTCGAACCCTCTTTTCAAGGTGCCCCTCAAGACTTTAATGATAAATTGCAGGTATTCCAATCCCAGCTCTTTTAAGCAAGCTGCCAAGGCAGATCTAGCTTCATCGCGCACACTTTCCAGACGATTCTTGAGGAAGTTAGAAATACGATGTAGGATACTTGGAAGTTGCAGTTCCATGATGTCACCTGGAAGTAACTTAAGGACCTTGAGGGCAACTAAACTAATTGTTACATTGACATTTTCAGAATCAGACACCAGGAACTTTTGTACCCTAGGAAGCACATCTTTTTGAAGACAAATCTGAACCGAAGAACAGTTACCACATCTAGTATAGGTGCCTGACATTGTAGATACTTCATTACTGGTGTCAGCATCTGGAATATGTCCCATAGAACCTTCAATTTCATGAAGAGAACTTGCTTCTGAAAAGTGGAATTGGTCGAGAATGGAACAGATAAGCCGCATTAAAACCTTTTGTTTGTCCTGTTTTAGAGTCATCTCTCGAAAGCATCTAAGAAGTAATCCATAGTATGCTTTCCAGTCCAACCACTTAGATAATGATGCAAGAGCTTTTATACAAGCACTTCTTATATTTTCCCCCTTGCTGTTTTGTAAATCTAATAACATACTGAAAATGAGAGGTACAAAAACTCTGTCCACAACACCCTACAATAGTTTTTATTACATGGTGTTAGATTTCCGGAGAGAGAAAAGCATGTCTTCTCAAATTGAGAACATTCAGGTGTAAATGAACTGGGGTAGATACCTTTGAGAAACTCCCAGAATTGACAGCATTGCTGAAACGAGATAGAGCCCTAGCCCTTCTTTGCCTCTGAACAAACAAATAAGAGAACATGAAATGCGGCATCAAAGGAAAACTATGGCATGTTCTTTATCAAAAAATGAAGAAAACTATGGTTTTCCTTGTGATTCTGGAGTAGAGAGGTTATACATCAAACTTCATACTGACATCCAAGTAATCTACCATTGAAGTGAATAAATTAAAACAATAAATGTTTTCCTCATGTAGTCATGTAGCAACTCATTGATTTAGTTGAGTGTGGTGTGCGTGCACATTTTCAAATTACAGTAATGCACGCAACACATAATCACATACTCCCTCCGTCCCATTCAAAGGTTCCCATTTTCCTTTTTTGGACGTCCCACCGAAAGGTTCTCATTTTCTATTTTAGGAAACAACTTACAATCTTAAATAACAATTTAATCATCAAATATTAAAAATAATACATCTATAACATCACAGTTATCATCAATAACCCATTATATTATATACTCATCATAATTATTTCTCAAAAAATACTCGAATTAGCATATTTAATTGTTGTCTAAATAATCATGCCATTTTGCAATGGAAACCTATGAACAGAACGGAGGCAGTATATTTCTAGGACATAGAAGGGATATGGTTCCTCCAAGTAACATGAGTTACCAACCTGTAGATGAACAACATTGTTAAAAAAATCTTGTTCTGGATCTTCACTGCATAGAACAACACATGCTTTGAATTCCGTCATTGTGTGAAGCTTCAACACCATTTCACGTAGTAGATCAATCCATGCCTGAAAAAAACGCAAAATATAAATTAGCTCATAAAATACATGAAGTTGCTTAAAAGTCAAAGCTACGCATTAAGTTCCACACACCACTAGCACTTATCAAATAGACATACAGAGAAATACAAAATGAAAAATAAATGAAGGACTGGTTGATGTAAAAGTTCACCAAAAACTACAAACTGCATACCTTTCTAACTGAGCCTTCTTTGTTCATTGCATGTCCCATGTGCTTCATGAGAAAGGTGTTTATTATGTGCACAACCCAGGGTCCAGAACAAATTTGGTCAGGTTTCATTTCTAGTTCAAGGGTTTGACCAGAAAAAACGATGAAAGAGGCCAACACTCTAAATGCACTCTGTCTGAGAATCAAATCTTCAGATGACATGTCGCATACAGAATTTGACAAAATCATCAATGCATGCTCTTCTTCAGCAGTGTAGAAGAAATCTACATTCAACTTCTCATATGCAGCAACTATAGTATCATAATCAAGTTCACCCATTTCTGAGGCTGAAGTCGCATTTAGTTCATGGAGAAGTTTTGCCTGCATAAGGTGAAGTAAATGGCATTTGGTACAAAAAATGAAGAAACCATCCTCAAATGGTCAAAAAAAGGAACCAGCTATCAAAAGCCAAAACTACAGCGATAGCAAGTACAAAAGGGAAAAAAATACCAAAGCAAGTAATGTTGAATCTTTTTCAGCAAGAGCATCAAGAACTTCGAAAACAGAACCCCGGACATCGGGACCACCAGAAATAAGAAGTGGAGATATTGATTTGAGAATATTTTTGACACATCCATTCCCAAGTGGTCGGACAACATGCCTAATAATCTGCAGTGTGCCCATACATATATCTGCAATAGACATTGCCTATGGTAACAACACGAGCTAATAATAATGATAGTTTTAATCAAAATAATAGAGTGATGATGATGATGATGATAAAACAGTAGCAGCAATCATCATCATTGCCCCATGCCGCAAAGGCTCCCACCTACGGTGGGGGTAAGGGGGGGTTGGATGTACGTGGTCTTACTTCTGTACTAAAGCACAGAGAGATTGTTTCGGGATGACCCATAGTGAAAAAACAGTAGCAGCAATAATGACAAAAAATAAAACTACCTCCGGCTCTTTTTAGTTAGCCATCTTTGACTTTTCCAGTCAAATATGGCAAACTTTGATCCATTATTTTAACTAATTTATTTATCTGAAACTTAATAAATTTATACTTTTATGATAAGTAGTAGTATTTTTAACAAAGAATATTTTCATATCATTTTCAAATTATCAATATTACCGTGTATGAACATGTTATCAGCCAACTTGAAAAGTCAAAGTTGGCTAAATAAAAAGGGACGGAGGGAGAAGCAAATACAGCAATATCAAGGTGGTCGGTGCACGAACCCCCCCAAATTCTGCGCATTAGCTGATAAGCCTCATGTGGTTGAAAGAATGCATCCAAACTCATATTGTTATTATTAATCATGCATAAAATAACCTAGAAGAACAAATCTAATTGTCAAATAAAACAAAAAAGTATTAACTACGTTTAAGGTATTTTGACAAACTTATGTGCATGTTTAATCATAACACTAAAACAAAAATTGTTCAAGTACTTTTGTATAATTAGGTATTTTGGCAAACTTATGAGCATGATTAATCGCATTACAAGACTTGACACATTTTCTATCACAAGGGACTAATGCGCAGAATTTGTATATCAGAAGGGAGTTTCCTACATTAAACCACAATATCAAGAGAACTAATTGAGCTCAGTAAAAATCTCACCAGAAGTATGAGATTTCTTTGATAAAAGTGGAAGCAAAACATCAACATACTTCTTTGCTGCTAAGGGTTCATCTATGTACTTCGATAACAGCTTAAAAACATTCAGCTCATTTTCTCCTGGATATTTGGTGAATTTCCTGGAACAGCAAGAAAGTTAACTAAACCAAGAGTAAAGACATTTAACTCATCAATCTAAAAACGTTGAAATCATTTTCCTCCCATTCAAGGGTCCCAAAAAAAGTTGGTTATCTGAAATGCTTAAGCACCTACTAGGTATACATATGTCCAGTTTCTTAAAAGATGGACTTGGCACGGAACTAGGCATACCTAAGCCATCCTAATTTCATTATAGGCAATCAAGCGCCTACACTGCCCAAGTGGCCTAAACACCAGCTATATACAATATGGTGAAAGAGTGTGTATAGTAACCCTACATTTCCATGACCCAAAAGCACGACACATTACTTGAAGCAGGCGCAATCTTATCACTTCAACTATACTTCTTCACCTAATATTTAAAAAAAATGGTTTTTAGAGACACTGGTTCATAGTGTAATATATTTTCAAAAAAATTGAAACATCTCTTAGGTCATATAGTCATATTAAATGCAGATTGATTGTGTATTTGAAAATTGAGATTGGTTTATTATACTATGTTTAAATATATTTATTTTATCTAAAATGTAAATTTATCGTGTAAAAAAACCAATGCACATTTTAACACAATCACTAGTTAAAACTTAAAACTACACCATATGTGTCGATTCACGTTAGCCAACCCTAAACTCTTTCAGGATTAAGTCTTGCATTTTGTTGTTATTGTATTAATAAAAAAAATACAAGCTCTGAAAAACTCGGGAGAAAACATATTATTTATTGAAAGTCCTAATATTTTGTAAGTCTGAATTAACCTCACCTACACACTATGCTCTACAAACTGTCTGGCTCATAAACTCATAGCACCTTTAAGAGAACGGCACAGAGCATCAAGAGAATCACATTCCAACAGAGGCAATCGTTGAAAGAAAGGAGCAATTAGTCCATACCTTTTTCTGGGTCCATCGTTCACAAACAGATAATGCAAACTGGATACAAGAACATCAAGGTGAGGAAGCAGTAATTTCCTGATAGGTTTTTCCTCATCGGTCTGTTCATTATCCAGAGTCAAGAGGTTCTCAATGAACTTAAGAACATAACAAACGATAGCTTGGGATGCTGTTGTAATGGATAACATAGCAAATATATCTGGAACAAGATTCTTCTCTCTAAACAGCAATGGTACGAGTTTGTAACTTCTGCTCATTGCAAGAAAGCAAGAAAATAACGAGCTTGGTTTCTCACTACTGGCGCCTTCCTGCTTGAAACCAGCAATTAATGGTTTCACTGACTTGAAAAAGGAATCCCAGAATCTGGAGCTAAAATCATGACCTTCATACTTATTAAGAATAAAAGAAATGATCCTCAAGCACGCAGATCTCAACTCCTTGGACTTCTCTATAGATGTTTGTGTCTACATAAAAAGAACATCAATCAGGTCATGCATTACCATTGTAAATGTCCCAACTCTATAGCCATCACTACCATTGGACTATTAGAGTGTGTTGTGAAGAGTTTGTCTCACATCAATTAAGTGTTACTTAACAAACCAATATATGAAATTTCATGTTATTCCTCCAATAAGAGTGACCATTTAGGATGGAAACTCAAGTCATAGTATGTTAACCCAGTACACCCGATGAGATTTGGGATCGTAACAATAACAATCGGTCACGGCTATGTTGGTCACGGTTGGCACCTCCAGGGACCAAGCCACCACTCTGAGTGTCGGGACTAGGAAGATGGGGACGGCTTTAATACCAATTGCTACGGACCTAGCCCATACTAGGCCCGTAGCAGTGTCATAAGCCCATGTGTAGAACTCACTCCTAAAAGACCAGTGATTAGGAGGAGGGAACACCTTCCTTATAAGCCGCCGGTCAAGCCCATACTTGACCGGTGTGGGATCGTAACAATCTATGCAAAAAAAACATAGTTTAGGCAAAAATGTAAAGCCAAATAAAGTGAAGATTGTTGAAGAGTTTGTCCCACATTAGCTGAGCATGAAATAACAAATGTTTACTCCTCTTATTGAGTTGATTTTTTAGGATCCCCAAATATTAATGTAGAAAAACTAATCATATTAGTATAGTATAAACAAAAATAAGTATGGTTGGAGTTACTTTTATGTCATAATTGGTTGAATTTACTGAAGAAAAGTATTTTAGCTATTTCTTCATATAATTATTTATATTAACAAAATATATTTTAAATATAATGTTTTCTAAATTAAACAGATTCAGCCAATTCAGCCACTTCAACTAAAAATTCATAAGTTTCAGCAAATTCAGCCAATTTCAGTGTACCAAACAGACCCTTAGTAATAAGAGATTTTATATCTTGTTGATCTAATGATAGAAAAAAACTGAATGTACTTAGATATACTAAGGAGACACAAGGCTTTGAAAGGCAAAGTTGAGCCCCAAGGCGATTGGTCGTAGCCCCAAGGAGGCATAAACCTTGGGGTATAATGAGGCATAAGCCTCAAAATTAATTGTAAAAATATTATTACAACAAATAAAATAATATAGACAATTCATAATAATAGTTCAACCAAACACAATCACAAGTAAAGAGAACATAACAGAACATAACAGTAAAACGTCCCACTATCCCAGCCAAAAGAAGATAAAACAGTAAAATAACTCATGTTCTCTTATCAGAAATCAACTGTTATGTCAATATTTTATTACAGTATTACATCTATATATCCTTCTTTATTTGTATCAGTAGTTCAGTACCTCAGTACCCTACTTTGCAGGTGAGTGATGCAGTTAACTATCTTGACAGGGCATTCCAAAGCCATGCTCCTGTAAGAGCTCGGAACCTTATATACATATCTAATAACTAAATAAATCAAAGTGGAAGTTAACCGTTTTAAGTAAACTTTAATGATAAATGAATTAATCAAAATTTAAAAATTACAGCAGTTGGTCGTTCAAGTTTCAGAGAACAAAAAAGAAGAGGGAATAAGAAAACATGGATGTAAAGAAGTAAAGAGAGATATTAAGAGATTAAGAAGGGGAAGCAAGTCGTTGCTAAAGCTGATGATGGAAGACTATCCGTGCTCTGATGATGAAATAAGTTAGAAAGATTTGTATGACATCTTTAATGTTTTTATATCACAATGTATGTCTTTGATTCACAAAGTAATTTTCTTATATCTTAATGTTTTAATTGAATACATATAAATATCCTATAAATATAATATTTTAATTTGATTTACCAAGCAAAAATTTATTAATAATAAATAAGTTACAAAGATTTGTATGACATCTTTAATGTTTTTTATATCACAATGTATGTCTTTGATTCACAAAGTATTGTTCTTATATCTTAATGTTTTAATTAAATACATATAAATATCCTAAATAAATATAATGTTTTCATTTTGATTCACCAAGCTCAAATATATTAAAAATAAATAAGTTACAAAGATTTGTATGACATCTTTGATTTTTTTTATATCACAATGTATGTCTTTGATTCATAAAGTAGTGTTCTTATATCATAATGTTTTAATTAAATACATATAAATATCCTAAAAAAATAAATAAAAATTATTTAAAAAAACCGAACTGGACCAGGACCGGAACCGGCAGTTCGGAACCGCCTTGAACCGGCCCTTCAAGGTTCCGGTTCAGTTTTGAGCATTTGGTGAACCGTGAACCGCCGGTTCGGTTCCGGTTCCGGTTTGGTTCCGAACCGGGGACAGGTCTAGGCCCAGTACCTAAAAATCAGCCTAAAAATACCAACTCCATCCCACTCAACTTTGCCAAGTTGATGTTGGGTGTGAAATTAGAATAGCAAAAATTGTGCGGTTGAGGTTTGTACAGAGGAGAGAGAAATGAACAGAGCCAAAAATTGATTTCTTTAAAAGGAAAGTGATAAAAAAAATGGGACAAACAAAAAAGGAAAGTTGGCAAAGTCCATGGGGACGGAGGGAGTCATATTTTATTATATAAAAAAAGGGGGTGTACGGCTGTACGCCTTTCATTGCCTCTGCAGTTTGCACCTTGGGAATTATTGCATCTGCACCTCACCCATCTGGAGGTGTGAGCCTCGTTTCTGCCATTCAAGGCTTTAAGCCTTACATCCGTTATTCCACCGACTTTGATGCGCACACCCCGAATGCTTTTTAAAACAATGAGACAACAACCATACAAAAGAAATCCAAAACCTTCTAATGTATTCATAACCACTGTGTGCACACTATAGGTCGGCTAATGTGTGTGCTGAGGTTTGCTGATATTCAACAGCATGGGAAAGACAAAACAGCAATATTATCTGAGAGCATTAATCATAGTTGTTATTGAGGGGTTTCGCGGCGCGGCGCCTCTGGACTGCCATACTGCCATGGCGATGTGGTGCCCGTCATGGCGGCATCACGGCGATATGTCGACATAGGTACACTAATACTTTCATAATATGTTTTATATACTAAAATGCCTACATGTAACACTTATAGTCAATACTACTAATGAAGTAGTAAAACATGTAATCATAGAAATAACATAATCCATAAGACCATAACCATAGGTTTTTGTAGTTCATCAAAAATATCACAAACATTATCCACAATCCAACAAAATAAAGAAATACAAAACAGTAAAATATTAAATAGAAATAATATAAAGCAAATAACTAATACATGCTACTGGACAATGAAAAAAGAAATACAAAAAGAAGGCAGTAGTAGTAGAGGATAATTCGGGAGCAAAAAACAAGTTTAAACTCAAACGATGCCTATCCCAAAACTGAAGCAAAATAAATATCTGATGCCTATTTGCAATATACCGAAGCAAATACTCCAAAAATGTGACGACCTATGGAAAAACCTGACGGAAGAAGATGCTCGAGTCTAGATGTGGACAACGATGACCAAAGACACACCTGACGACTCGAGTATGCGTTTGGGATGGCGATGACTTTGGATGTTTGGAATCGCGAGATTTGCCAGATAGGTTAACTGGCCTTTTTTTTTATTTTGATGGGTTATTGCTAATCACTTATCAAGTTACTGGGTTTGGGCTTAGGCCTTTTGACTTATGGTGTGTCGAGCTTCTATGGCGACGATGCAGCGATGGCATAACTATGGCATTAATTAATCAATTTGATAGACACGAAGGGCGGAAGTGAAAAAGACAGCTGATTGGACGTGCAATCCTAGACCACTAACACAAACTCAATCATACTGATTTTTCATTCTCGTTCAAATTTGTATCATAAAATCGCTTTTTAAAAAATCCATCACTATAAAAACAAAATACTACTCCATATATTTACAAGTTGAATAATGGAAAAGGAGAGTGTTGAGAAATACCATAGCTTTACTGTCGACGGCATCACTGTGATTAACAACAATCAGGCTACTATCCGCGTTGTCAAGAGTTGATGTGCAGATTTCCAAAAAACATGAAACACATACCAGTAACAAATTAAGAAACGGACTAATACGTGTTTCATCAAAAACAGCCACAGTCTCCTCAATTACATGCAGAAAGCTCTTTATCTTCTTCAGATAATTTTTGTTGGTGTTTATTGAGACAAAATGCTTAAAGACGCCAAATGAGCTATATTCATCATTTAAGGATTGGGGTGCATTCCAAAGAGATTCAATGTTTCCAGCAAACCCTGCCTCTTTTCCTACAAGAGACTTTACTAACAGGGAAAAGAAAAGTGGCAACTCCTCCACGTCAAGCTGAGCTAAAAACCCAAGAATTGCCTTCCTTAGGTTTACACTTGCATGCTGTCACTCAAAATTAAAAAACTAATTATGACGCTGGTTTGAGAAATGATGAAACTGAAAGAATCTGACAACTAATCATACCTTCCGAGACGCAAGAGTTTTTAAGTTTCTCACTTTTGGAGCAAGTATGCGGATGACAATAGGCACAAGGAAACCTCTATGCTGTTCATCGATGAAATGTGAATCCCTAGACAAACTCCAAGTAGTGATCTCCTCTCTCAAATTCTTTACACTGATCACATTTTTTAGATGCTGCTCATAAGGGAGCATAAAAGTGTCTTTCCAATTCATCAAGCACTCAAGAACTTTCATCTGCAACTCAGCATCGCTCTCGTCAAGAAGCCTGGGAAACAGAACCAAGTAAAAGACATGTGAAGTTACTTTAGGCTTTTAAATTGATTGATGTTTTCATTTCTCAACAAAAGTGTAATCCAAAAAAGGTTAAAAGACAATAAAAACATTATGCGCTAATTTATGTTTTACCAACCTGTATTGTAAGACATCCTTGAGAAACTGATTGTGGTAAAATGCCTTGGGATTTCTCATTAGCCTGAATAAGTTAAGCCATTCTTTAAGGACATTCTTCCACTCTTCCCCTTTCAAATTCAGTGTGTTATATGATTCGACGCTGCATGTTAGAACAAAACAAAAGAATTGAAAATTAAGATCACTAACTTAGCTAATAAATATCATCATAGAAGAAAGATAATGCAAATTGGAAAAAGGAATCACCTCAGAAGTTCTTCAACATTATATCCAATGAATTTCAAGAACAAAGGTATTATTTGCCTAGAACGAGATTCAGCTACAGATGGAACTCTTTGTAAAGATTGAATTAATAATGAAATAACTTCTGCAGATGAAGTACTATATGACGATGAAGAGCAGTAAGAGTAGAACTGCCTAGCCAAACCTGAGAGCCATAAAGTGCATCAGAAATTATTAATAAGCTAGAGAATCTAGATAGAGGGGATCTAGGAACACAAAAATCATATTCTTTTTATCAAGGACACAACTTACCATCATCATCACCACAGGATTCAATACCTCCCTTACAAGTTTGATCATCAGGACCCAAAGCAGTAGAGATGCAGAAATCAAGGTACTTCACATATCGATCCCAAAGAATCTCAAAGTACTTTCCAAGTAAGACAGAAATGCAATCCAAAGCTGGACTTCGTAAGTCATTGAATTTGTTGTGGATGATCCCTATTACACCAAACAAAGCCGTGGGTATATAATGTTCATGTACCCTTGCAGATGATAGAGTTGTCTGTATTTTAGATACAAGTAGTACAACTTTTCTGCTGGTGGCATTTGATAGAGGCAATTCTTCAATTGACAAAAGGAGCTGAACAACCTGATAAATAGGTTTGAGAAAACAAAAGCACTTTGTAATAACAAACCAATACAAAAGTGCAAGTTTACAACAAGATAACAATATGTGAATGTGCATACATTATTGCCGCGATCATCGGCAGCACAGGTTTGATGATCATCACTTCTCCTTTTATTATCAGCATGTTCATTTGCGGAATATCCATCACACAAAGGCTCATAGTGGTTCAAGATTCTTAGAGTAGAAAGGCGGACTTCCTTGTTACAGTGGCATAAATTCTCAGAAAATATATCCAGAGCACTCGCTACTTTAGTTGCCACAAGCTCTGGATGATACTGCTCAATAGGAGTATCGGCTTGTTTTCTGTATATTCAAGCACATTTGTAAATTTTACTATATTAGTTAGAATACTAAGATGAGAACATGCACAATACTACAATGCTGCAATGATGTACAGCTTTTATGAAGGAGAAGGGGCAGTGTCATAAAAGAAGCCATAGCAACGGATGGATTGAAAAGGAGAGCAGATGACCAAATGGTATGTACGAGAAAGTAATAAAGGCATAAAAAGAGAAAAGTCATCTACAAGAAAGTAAATCCAAAAATATATCACCAAGATAGTAAAGAACAAAAAAATGAAATAAGTAAAAAAAAAAACTAAAAAGTTGAATATCTACATGAAGTTAAATCCAGCTGAAGTATTTCCATTTCCAGGAGGAGAAAAAAGACCAAAGAGCAAACGAATTTACAGGATGTTGTCATTTGTTTGTTACATAATGTAGTTTACAAGGTAGAAGCATATGCATGCATTCATTACAAAATATAGAACAATTGATAAATAAATAAATACATAAATAAATAAATAAATAAATAAATAAATAAATAAATAAATAAATATATAAATAAATAAATAAATAAATAAATAAATAAATAAATAAATAAATAAATAAATAAATAAATAAATAAATAAATAAATAAATAAATAAATAAATAAATAAATAAATAAATAAATAAATAAATAAATAAATAAATAAATAAATAAATAAATAAATAAATAAATAAATAAATAAATAAATAAATAAATAAATAAATAAATAAATAAATAAATAAATAAATAAATAAATAAATAAATAAATAAATAAATAAATAAATAAATAAATAAATAAATAAATAAATAAATAAATAAATAAATAAATAAATAAATAAATAAATAAATAAATAAATAAATAAATAAATAAATAAATAAATAAATAAATAAATAAATAAATAAATAAATAAATAAATAAATAAATAAATAAATAAATAAATAAATAAATAAATAAATAAATAAATAAATAAATAAATAAATAAATAAATAAATAAATAAATAAATAAATAAATAAATAAATAAATAAATAAATAAATAAATAAATAAATAAATAAATAAATAAATAAATAAATAAATAAATAAATAAATAAATAAATAAATAAATAAATAAATAAATAAATAAATAAATAAATAAATAAATAAATAAATAAATAAATAAATAAATAAATAAATAAATAAATAAATAAATAAATAAATAAATAAATAAATAAATAAATAAATAAATAGACCTGCCAAAACTTACCCATAAATAGAATCCAAAATATCAGCGACTCCCGACAATATCTGAGAACACCTATTGTGCCTTCTTGCCAGGTCTAAGAATTTACTTATTTCAGGCTCCAGAAGAGCAGCGCTTTGCATGTCTGCTAATTTAAGTAAAGAGCCCAAAGTGGCACCAATCAAGCATTGCCATGTATTTCTACATACATCTGTGAAATGCAGTTGAAACGAAAAGATCATTACAGCAAAACCAATTAATAGCCTGCTACCATGTTGAAACGATTAAAGACACAATCTGCTCATGAACAGAATGACAATGTGAACTAGGGCAACCCCTTGTAAAGCCTTGTAATAGTAGATAATGCCTAAAAGATATTGTGTACACATCACACGCAGGTTGAGGAAAAGAGAGCTTTTCACAAACTGTGGAATGCTTTCTTAGATGCACTGAAGGTATTAAGTATTAGCCGTCAAAAGAAGGTATTAAGTATTAGCCGTCAAAAGAACTTCGACAACTGATCAGTGAGCAAGCACAATTCCTAGTTATTTCCAGACATGTCCGCCTCCCACCTCCACCCCCACGGCCCCCTTCCACACACACAGAAGCAACATCACCTATAGAGTTAAAGTGAGTACAAGACACTAAGTCTCACCTGATTTCACAGTTAGAAGATCATCTATAGCAAACATCAAGTCCACAAGAAGGGAAGGATTTGCTCTGCCATCATTCATGTATGGATAGCAACCAATGATTCCCCACAGAAGTCCAACACTATTCTCTTGAAGTTCAGAAGGAAACCCCTTCTCTTTCATATCTTTGATGTGCTGAACCCAAAATACCATAGCTTTTCCAAAGAAACTACGAATTTTTGAGACTTCCTCTTTAGGTATTCCATCAAAGAAGCTCTTCCAATGTACTGGTATTCTCTCACAAAAAATGTACAGCAAATATATGAACTCATCCTCTGAAATCTCTAGTAACTCAGTTAATGCACTGAAACCAATTATAAACATTGAGATTTAATACACAGCGGAATAGTATTCTATAATTTTTCACGTGTCAAATCTAAGTATGACGAGCATTACCTCATAATGTTGGCTTGAAAACATTGGAGAATATCAGGGTCCTTTGATAGAAATTCTTTCAGAAATGTAGGCAGGCTGATGCAAAGTAAAAGTTTCAGAAACAATACACAAAGTCACAAACAAATGATGTCAAGTAATGTACACCAAATTGTGTCATTTATCAATTTTACACTCTATAATCATCATTTACAGAGCACTCTAAGCTTCAATAAGGTTAAAAGAAAAAATATCATCAAATGTTCAATTAGAATTGAAAAAAGTGCCTATATTATGAATTATCTTTGAAGGGTTGTCAAATTTAATCCATTAGGACAATACCATGAGAATCTACATATGACCATCACACACGACAGGGACTCATTAAGGACTGTCATATTTCTAAACCCTAGTTTTGCAGATTTGGTAGGTACCAAAAGAAAACAATTAAAAGTTTCCAAATTAAATTGCTTTCTTCACTTTTTTTAGAAAAAACTGATCTTTCTTCACTTTTTTATACCGAAATCTTTCAAACTCATAGCAACCATGTTACTCACCGGAGTAATGAGTCACTGAGTAATGGAGTTGCAGATTTAACTGAATTTGATATTTATAGATGTGAAAGAGTACTCGCCGACTAACTTGATTTTGTAAATCAAACCGGCTTGGTTGCTTATTCAGCTTGGTCTGTTGGTCTATGTTTGAGTAAAGTACTCGCCAATTAAATAACATAGGAAATCAAATAAACTAAAAAAAATAACATCAAGACAATACCTTTTATTCCTCAAACTAAACACAGGAGCCCACTGCAAAGAGGCACAGGTCAGATCTGAGATGTTATTCGATTTGTGAAGAGCATCAACAACACAAAGCATCAATGACAAAATTTTGTCAAAAAACTCTGTTGCCAGATCCATTGGGTGCAGGGTGGAAGATGGCACATAGTAGGTCTGTACAAGCAAACTGATTACTTCTAGAATTTGTTGATAATCTGTACGAAGTAAGCAGCCTTAGAATCACTCCAAGATATAGTGAAGCAGATAAATGGACAATGACTTTTTTTTAAAATATAGCACACCAGATAATTTTCCCACAAATTTCTTTTGAACAGTAGAAATAAGCAGGGATAAAAGCCGACAAAGATGCACAGGATGACCACTAGTAACATTGTTGGTTATCCCCTTCAATAAGCAATCCCACATCAACTTTAGTTCACTAGAGTTCATTTTCTCACATAGCCTCTGAAAAACACCAACAACAACCTCAAGAACAGTTTCTGGACCTGCACAAATAATGTAGAGTATGTAATAAAGAAAATCCAGATGTAGATATAAAACTAACATGCATGGAAACTTCTTGACTGCAAGCCTAACCAAACAGAAAATGGCCAAATGTAATTACATCCTCTTTTAGTCTATCCTAATTTACGTTATCTCCTCATCAGTTAAAAGTTTGCATCGGTGGTTAATAGCAGCCTATGCATACAAAAGCAGCGAAATTGAACCACTAAAAATATCTAGAACCATATAAGAACATAGTTTGAACTTTTGGGAGTAACTCAAACCAAAATAGAGATGTTTGCTATCTATCCATGCAAGAAACCTCAAGAGAATGAGGTTCCAGTCCAAGTCTTTACTTGGAGTTGAACACGGGACCTCTCCCTTGTGGCAGGTGGCACCCTCTTCCCACTAGGTCAGCTACGCCCCCTGGCACTTGCGCAATATTGCAGTGAGGCATAAGCAATATTGCACACGCAACAAGGCGTGTGCAATATTGCAGTGAGGAATAAGCAATATTGAACACAATAGAAGGTCAATGTGTAAGGGTATTACCGTATTATTTGTGCCCTCTCAGCAAACTAGATACTAATCATTCTGTTTTTCGAGCATTAGTCTAAAAAGATAAAATTTTAGCATGTTAGGAATTTTAATTTGATGTTAACGGTTTACAAATTTTTGCCATGTTTGAACTTTGAACATACTCCATATTACTTTGCTAGGATTATGGCTTCATTATAAATTGTTTTAATATGACGTTTGATGACTTTGATGAATAAGTTGTTTTATTTTTTATTTTGTTTGTGTGTGTGTGTCAGTGTGTGTGTGTGTGCATGTGTGTGACAGATATTAGGTGATATGGGAGTAATGTGCTGAAAAGATGAGAACGGAGTGAATGCAGTTCTGGATATGTGATAGTGACCAATCGCAATGTCATCAAGTTCCCTTCACCTTCCTTCCCAACCTCGCTCTAATTTATGTGTATCTAGTTTGAAGGAAGCTATGTACTTCCCTAAGTCCTGTATTTTTTTTTTTCCTTTTATGTTTTTGTTTTGAGTGGACAAGGAAGAGGAGTCAAATAAAAAAGAAGCATGTCCCATTAATGTATTGTAGGATATCCTTCCAAAATAAAGTTATGTTTTGACTTTCACGTTTTTGAATGATTACATAACTTTTAATGTATTATTTATGTTGTGAGCTTAATATATGTGTGTATACAACTATACATATATATAATTTACGCCTCATTGCGTTATAAGGCTTACGAAATATGCATTTTTTTAGTAAAACATGACTAAGCAATATGCAATTTCATACCCTGCCCTGAATATAATTTTCGTGGTTTATTTTGGAATAAGATTAACCAAGTAATAATCAAGTAAAAGAAAGAGAAGCTTAATGTCCCTTAAACTGTCACGGGAAATTGAGTTTCACCACTGTTTCACCGAAGAAAGCATATCTAGAGTCTGAACCCACTTCTAAATCCATGGATATCAAGCCTATTAAACATTACAATGCTGATTTTGAATAGGTCATGCTGATAATCAACTCAACCTATATGGCAGATCATGCAGAACTGATTATACAGCTTGAACAAAGTGGGATCTTTTGCAGTTCATTTCATTTCAAGCGCAAATGATTGCATGATGCAAGTATGTAAACTGCAACTATATGCACCTATTTGAGTTGCACATTCCGCAAAACAGGCTCCTAATGCAGACCACAGAGAATGCATAGTATGATGAGAAACAAATTTTGTTTAATAACAAACCAAAAGAAAAGCTCACCTCCATCGAAATGACTGTCTATGCTATATAGGGAGTTGCCAATAAGAAGGCGCAATACTTGCCCAGCCTTTGAATGAAATCTTGATGAAGTTCCTCTCATTGCATATGCTATTAAGGAACTAGTTGCGGACTTTCTCGTCAATGATGGTTTCTTCACAACTTCAGTCATTAAGTGTTGAATTCCTGACAAATTGCAGTGACACAAAATATTACATACAACACAAAGTAATGTATACTTATAAAGAATCAAGCAGGGCACAAGTCACAGGAAATTATCATCATGCTAAAATATGGCATCCTCAGTTCCTCATTCCAGACAAATGCGAGCAAGACTAAATAACTAAATATTGGTGCAACCAAATAGGGGTTTGTATATTTATTATACACCGATAAATGTACATCCATTCAATCATTTCCAGTGGAGCCAAAGACTCACTTTTTTGGGCTTGGGAATATTATGGGATAAAACAAAATGGCTCACTAAACCGTCGACGCTTCTTTGTTATAAAGCAACAATCAGTGCATGCAATTTTCGACGCAATTTCCGTCATGGGTCATCTGGAAACACTCTGTACTTTAGTACGAGGGTAAAAGGTTATGTACATCACACCCTACCTCCCCTGCCCCACTGTAGGTGGGAGCCTTTGTGGCACGGGTGTAATGTTGTTGTTGTTGTACTCATAATTGTAAATCCAACATATACAAATGACATTGTTTAGAAGGAAAATGAGCAACATTCAGATGCAAATGGACATAGTCACATACTCCAAAAATGTGATCAGGAAAAGAGAAAAAAGGAGCACGAGAAGTCAAAAAAGCTAACACCCTTTGAAAATGCAAAAATGTCGCTGGTTATCCAGGCGTACGATATAATTTGCGAACCAAATAGAGAAAGCAATTGACTGCATTGTCAAGAAATATTATTAACCAATATAAAAGAAGCTATATAAGTTATACTCCTTACCTCTTCTAAGTTCCTGGAAGGAAGCATTCCTCAATAAGAATGATACAGACTCCGCCATGAATTCTTGCACGTAGTCTTTGGGAAAGTATCTCAACTTTACTGTAGCCCTGGAAAGAAATGAACAATAATACATTACACCGGAGAATAGAAGTAACAACTATAAGCAAGGAAAACAGCCTCATTCTTTATGAATTAGAATAAAAGCATGTACAGAAGTTGAAAGCAATACCTTTGATCATTGATTGATCAATTTTACCTCTTTTAAGAGAGGCAGTCTAGGGAAACAGATATAAGTAGTATTCCTTATTAATATACACATACACACACAATAGGATCATATGATCCTTGTCACGATCACGCGTTTTGCGATTTTTATTTCTCAACACGATGCTGCGTAACATCTCGAGTTTGACAGTTTGACTACCTTCCTCTCTTCTACTGTTTTTCCTTGTTTCTGTAATTCTAGTTTGCGATTTGTTTCTATTTGGTCTAACAACAACATTTTGCTTCAGCGGTAATGTTTGAAAAAGTACGCATTACGCATTAGTTGTGGTTGATTGTGGTTAGTTGATACTTGATACTAGAATGTCAGTTCAAATTAGTTGAATCAATGTACTCGATAAACTGTCTCCACTGGAGCAAAACACTCGCTATTTGCAATGGAGCATAATACTCGCTATTTTTTGGCTTGGGAATATGATGGAATAAAGCAAAATGGCTCACTGAACTGTATGTGCTTTTTTGTTATGAAGAGTCATTCACTCCATGCAATTTTCGACGCGATTTTCACTATGGGTCATCCGGAAACAACCTTTTTGTGCTTTAGTACAAGGGTAATAGTACAAGGGTAAGACTGCGTGCATCCGAACCCCTTACCCCACTGAAGGTGGGAAGCCTTTGCGGCACTGGGGTGATGATGATGAATGTACTCGCTGTGTGCCTGGAGCAGTGAGGGGTGTGTGTACTACTGTGTCCATTGTATTGCCAAAAATCATGTGGGAAATATGAGACAATTATTCCTTCTCATTTTTAACAAGATCTTCCTTTCTCATTTATCATTCATAAATCAACTAATAAATTGCCCATGGAAAACAAAGAGCCACGACAACGGACAATCTTAATCAAATATTTTTTCGATGCTTTATATATATCTTTCAAATGATCAAAGAACATATACTCATCCCTAAAATTTTACAGTTAAATTCCCAAGCAATGAAGGATAAATATTGCACATGAGAGATACAAGAATATTTGCACAGTTTCAACTTTCAAGGGAACATGCTTCAAGATCTTGGTAGTACAACTAGCTAGGGAGGGGGGATCAAGAGTCAAACAGAAACTAAGGACCATTATGTATTTAAAGAGAAAACTGCAATCTATAGCTTACTTCAGAACATGGAGAACATCTTTTGTAATGTACTTCTGTAGGTACATCATAATGCATGACCATGATGTAAAAATCTGCAAATTTAAGATTATGTGGATGTCATTTCAAGCAAGAGAATTCAGACCAAAATGAATTGGACTTTCTAAACATAGTATCACATGACCTGCTCAACTATTTCTGGTTCTCTGTCAGCACCACTGTGGAGAAGAGCCACTAAAGAGTTAGCAACCCTATGAAGAAACCTGGCAATAAACATTAAAAGAGAAAATGTCAAATAAAAAGGAAAAAATATAATGTGTAACTTAGTTGTCTAGGGTGAGTAACTGGGTATATTTCTCTAAAAAGAAAATTATAAAGTCCAATGATAGAAATGAAAATGTAAGAAGAAATAAAAAACAAGGCAGCCAGCTATGTTCTAATCGGTGGGTACTCGCTACTTAGGCATTCACCTTGCCGAGTAGCTTACCTGCTCATTTCGTTCCAAAATACAGAGTAAATCGCCGAGTAAGACTCAATGATTCATTTTACAAGCCAAGTAATTTGGCCATACTAAAATGTGACTTTTTTGTTTTCTTCTTCAAAAAAAAAGAAACTGAAGATTGGGATTTTAAAAAATAAGGACTTTGTTTTAGTAACTGAATATTGTTTTTGGAAAAAATAATATCTAAACTTTCACACAAGGGCTTTATGTCTCCGTGAGTTTTTCGACTTCTTCAGTTCTTGAAAAAAATACGCTTAAAAACCTCATTATGCAATCAAGCTTCAACTACACGATACACAACTTTGACGAATGGTCTACAACTTCAGTGTTAAATATGAATTAGCTTACCCGTGATCTATAAAAGTAGTTTTCCTGGTTTTAAATATGAATTAGCTATTGGTGATCTATAAAAGTAGTTTCCTTGGTAACTTTTCCATTTGACCTTGCTTTTGTAAAATAAAGATGCACCTTGTCTTTTAAAGAGAACAGATTCAAATTACTTTGGTGTTTTTCTCTTTATAAAATTTTATCAGAACAAGGTAAGCAGCTTGTTGGAAACCCAGTCAATCACAAATATATTCAAAATTATTAACCAAAAATAATTTGGATTAAAAGTACGAGTTACCAACACATAAAAGCCAAGGCAATAAATTGAGAACAAAACAAATCATCCAGAATTCTAGAACAAGTTGACAAATAGTTATAGAATTTACTTACAATAATACATAATATCATTAAAAATTAACAATGAAGTAAGTTTTTTGGAGGGGGTCATTAAAGTATTCCAAGAATGCCACACGATAGATACCTTCTAAAAGTGCATAAGAAACAGAGAATGCAAAATTAAAGGGTCAGGTGGCAACAGACACTCCAATTATCAAGTCCTGTTAAGGTTATCAATTACTATGTAGATGTGTTTTCTTTTAAATGAGTAATTTATGGCTGGATATATCATTATACACTTGGTTGGACTGTGGAGCTTCGATACTTGAGAAAGAAACGGATGAAGCACCTTTGTTGAGATAAAGCAATAGACTATTCTTTTGGAAAATGTTATGGGCATAATGAGCAGCTTTTCATTAAGCAATCAAGAGTTAAAATCACTTTGTACACTTAGCAACGGTTATTATCTATTCACTTAGTTACTTCAGAAATAGTGATGCAGGGCATTGTTTTTCTTTTTGAATATGTCTTATGTATATGTGTTTCCATTCATAAAGCATTCATGTCAAATATGATGTATTCCTCACGTACTCCACAGATCATTATTTCCTTTGGAAATAAATAAAAATACAGACTATCAACTTCAAGTGAGACATTAGATGCCTAGCTGGGGACCAAAACCAAATAAACCAAATACAAAAATAAAAAGAAATAACAGCAGCTACAGCATCTGTCACAATAGGGAACGAAGTGATTACTATAGGGGACTATGGGAGTAAGCATATTATAAAATGACTACAAGACATACGGTAAGAAGTCATCCACCAGGTCTCTAGATAAAGCTGCAATAAGCCTGTAAGAAATATATAAAAACACGCCATTAGTAGAAGGTAGGAGGGAATTCTTTTACCTGATAGTGGACGGAATCAGAAGGACGAGGGACAAGAAGGGTCATGCTTCACTTTACAAACAGATTATTAATAAGCACATGGGGAATAAAAAAAACTGCACAGTACGCCAGTACTTAATGAGTAAGTATGCCACAAAAGCAAAAGGTACCTTAAAATTGGCTCAACTGATAATCTACCCTTCATGTGAAGTCTGGAAAGAAGCTCCGAGAGTATTAATTCCTTTTGCAGCACAATTTGAGGTAGTGTTTGTACCAAGGGCAACATTTCTTCATAAAAAGATATAAAATCCTCTGCTGTATTTAATTCCTGTTATTTTGCCCAAAGGGAGATTTATAGAGGTTAGGATAAATGATCCCCAAATGAAAAAGTTGCAAGGACCAACCCCTCAATCCTCATCAAAACTTTAAGAAACTACTACAAAATGCTCTAAAACAAGACTTGACCATAAGAAGATACTCTCAGGTTTTCAATCTTAAATTTTGGATGGCAACCCATAACAGTACACATAAAAATCCAGGGTATGCATTGATGGGATACAATTTGAGAGATTAACTTGAAAAAGAGAGTAGCTTTACTGAAAAATAAATAAAACGAAGGAGTTACAATAATAATAATAATAATACTAATAGCACATACTCTGTATTGCACAAGACAATCACGGAAAAAAGAAGAACCCTCTGATGGCTGTGTTTTCATAGGATCAAGACTTTTGTATACATCTATATCAATGTCCTTAATTCGCTGAGATAATGTCTTGAACTGCAACGTTTTAATATTTCAGTCAGTTAAGTTCAGCTGCAGCTTAACATCAAGAATGTAGAATAAACCAGAATCACAATAGTGAAGTGCTCACAACAAAGCGGCGGCAGGGACGAGGGGGAGAGGACTTCTTGGGGGACTCGACGTCCATATCATCTGACTTCGGCTCCATGGGCAGGAAAATAAGCTGTTAACCTCCTGTAAGAAGCAATTTCAGTGCTTCAGAGCAGTATAAGACTTTTTGTTGGTGCAAAAAACGATGAAGGGGTTATTGCTTTTCGCTAATTAAATCGTTCTAGCAACATACCTGATAATCTGATATAAACAGTATCTATCTATATTATTATATAGTAAAACAGAAAAGTGGCGGAACCGCCGAAGGGCCGGTAAATGGCGGAGTGCAGGCGACCGGGTGACGGGCGTGAGGCGAGAAGGAGACAACTGATGAGACGTGCTTCCGTGCTGCGTCCTGGAGCTGGCCGGCGGGAGACGCCGTGAAGTGAGTCGGCAACTTAGCCGGGCGTTGGACCCTTCGGCCGTTCAAGGAGACAGATACTAGATGTCGATGAGTTGGATCCAATTTTCTCTACTTGGCTTCCTGAAGTCGAAGTACTACACTTTTCTTAATTTTGGGCTTTTGTTCATATGGACCTAATAAACTTTAAATTAGGCTGATTTAGGGGCCCAAAAGGTTTTATTTTTTTGGCCAGCGGCCCCCACCCTTGCTACCCCTCGGGCCGAGTTTTGTAATTCTATTTCTACTATGGGTATTGAAGAACGAAAAAAGTTTTACACATGTCTATGTAAGTTAAGTTTGTTTTGTTTGTACGGCAAAAAAATTAAGTCGTGTTTGTAAAAGATCAAGATTATTAGAAATTAGTCAGATTAAAGAAAGGACAAAATAGAGATACTAATTAGAAGGATGCAGTTGACTGAAACGTGCCTCCGAGAGACAATGGTGGTTTGTCTGCTTCGTGAACGTGGAAGAAGTGTGTTGGGCAAACAAGGGGTATATTGTGCACATGGAAAAAGGAGAGTAATTGGGGGTAAAAGGATGGAAGTATATGAGCGTTTCTTTTTCCTTTTTACGAATGTGTAAGAGCCTATTTTAGATTTTCGCCTGGAGTTGGATAAAAATAAGGTTTGAGAATATTGATTTACTATCACAATTTAATATTGTAAAAAAATGGACCAAGAACCTTTTTTATAATTTAAAGCTTATATAAGATTTTATATACTTCTAGCTATATTAAAATAACATAGTCAGTTTGAAATAATATGCATTTTAAATTAATAATGCGGGAGCTATAATGAGGATAATTATAAATCTAGCTGAAAAGTATACTCCATATAAAAAAAGTCTCATAAGATAGCCTAATACTACGTAGTTCTTTATGGATTATAGTAGACTGATTTCAGTCTCAATCTCGAATTTGATCAAACCAGATCAAAGTATATTGGACCTGATCAGACTTGGTCAATAATAAATTCACATAGAATAGATATTTACCATATCAAATGATAGCATATAAAAAAATTAGTCCTGTGAAAAACATCTTTAATCAAATTTTAAAGAAGTTATATTTTAATCACACATGTTATATTTTTTCCACAGTTAAACAAAACAACGGTTTTTTAAGGTATTTTTTCTAGACCAATATTGTGAATGTAATTGTTTTAATAATCAACATATGGTATTCTTGATTATTTTAATAAACATAACAATATTTAGTTTCTATTTTGTAGTTTCCATTTTGTTTTTAAAAAGCTTCTATTTTAAAAATATCAATTTCAAAGTAATTTACTGACTGGTACCACATATATTAATCACTGTTATGATTTGTGCGAGTGTCGTAACCGATGATCAGAGAGGACGAAAGTGCTTACATGTGATTTGTAAGGGCGAAAAGGTTGAGTGACAAACAATGAATGTGATGATGCTCGCCGATCATTGGGGATGAGAAGGTTGAGAAGGCTATGCCAATTCAGCATAGATGAGAATAGGGCTCGGGAAAATATTTTATACTTGGGTTTTGGGTTGAGTTTGGGTTGTGGGATTTTGTTCTCTAGACATGTCAACTACTAAAAAGATTTTAAAAAAATGTTTACTGCAGAGTATTTTACTTGAAATAAATTTTCATGACATTGTAAATTAATATATTTTTGTAAAATAATCGGTATGACGGTGGTTTGATGATATTTATATGTGACATATGGAAAAAACACCACCATAACGTCCAATGTTGTATTGAAGGATGTTTTTCGAAATTTGTAAAGCATTTATAACATTCATCTTTTAAAAAACTTTTATTGTGAAAATATTTTATTTATTTCTTTTTTGCTAGATATATATTTACAATTCGTATTACTATATTACGAAATTTGAGTTCTTATGTACTAAAATTAAATTACATGTATTATTCATATTATTCAGAAACTTGCTTTTGATATGAGAATTCCACTTCCTGTGCATCGCACACGGGTATAATACTAGTCAGTGAGGAGAAAAGAGAAGAGGCGCGGGAGAAGGGCTTAAGTAAGCGGATGTTTGCTAGGTTATACTGTATTGCTCCGTATAGTTATGTACTTATGTGTATGTGCCAGCCGCCTTTTTGTTCTGCGGTTGGCTTGAGTGACTCTCTTTTTTGTTTCTTTTTATTCGAAAAAAAAAAGAATAATAAATTATCCGAAATGAAATGTGCAATATAAAGTTATGTTTTGGAAACATTTTTGTGTTTTGTATTGTACACACTTCAATTTAGATTCAAATTCATCTAATACGCATTTCAATTTTATCAAATGCATAATTCAGCTTCACATTTCTAAAAAAAAAAACAGTTTCACATAATACAATCTGATGATTCACGTTCATTCTCATTTTTCTCGTGTGAGTCATTTCTCACCATAAAAGCTCTGATACATCTACAAACTTATAATAATGCTCTAATAGTGATTAGAACATTATAGGAATAATAAAAATATAATAAAAATGTTGGTGTAACACTAAAGCAATTTACATTTGTATAATTTGTTCAAGTCATTGTATCATACTAGTTCCGTCCCACTATGTTTGGGACAAGGGGTGTGGCACAACTTCTAAGAAAAAGTGGAATTGTGTGGTTGATATTAAATTGATAACGTGTGAATAAAGTAAGAATGAATTGTAACCACCCAAGTATTATCAAATATGGTATGAGACAAACTTAATGGGACAGATGACGTGCACTTTGTCGTGGTGTGCACTCAAAATAATAATACAAAACAACAATTATATGTAGTATAATGAAGTAAGGTTCGTATCCACAGGGAAAGGAATACATCTCTTTTTATATAACTAGTAACAAGGGGGGTTTAGATTTGTAGTTGAAGAACTTTAAGAATTTTTAAACACAAAGATGAACGACTTATGTGGTTTAATTAATAATAGATGAAGGCTTGGTTTTGCTTTTATCCACTTAATGATATGTTCGTCGATCCCGGTTATATCTTTAACTATCTTCCTCTCGAATACTCAATCGAGGAGTATATCCAGTTCATCGAGTGTAGTTATTAATAACGAGACGTGTTCATTAATAAAACTTACTACCGAATTAATATAGAACACGCGCCGTATATTAACCCGATAGGAGCAATAAAGTCAAGATGAAAACGATTGAGATTGACAACCTCAACACAAACGGTTTATTGGTTTAATCAACATAATTAATTCCCCTTGGTTTATTAACCATGAAACGCATGCATTTATAACCCAAGTTTACTACCGTGAAACGATCGAACGATTAACAAGTGTATTCGTCGATCGATTCTAGTAATAATTAATATATGAAACAAAATTACTTGATCCTTTAAGTAATGTTCAAAATATTAATATGAAATATGAATAGGAATTAATTAATACTCAATGAAGAATATTAAAGAAGATGAATCCTACTATAGTTAATATCAAGATGTTAACTAATTGTCATCTTAGTAACACTCCTCAACATTAACATAGAGGAAGAAATAACAATTATTATAACTAATGTCAAGATGTTAACTAATTGTCATCTTAGTAGCACTCCCAAACATTGATATAGAAATAGTATTTAAAGGAAGAATTAATATTCAAGGAAGAAGATTAAAGAGAATAACTCACAACTTACAAATTCATTAAGCTTCAAAGTAGCAAAACCAAGATGGAAGAGTTTAGCTCCTCATTTGGAGACTAAACATGATGAAAAATATAAAGAAAATACTTGTCTAAACTGAGCTAAGAAGTATATGTGAATTGGTGGTTTTTATGTGAAGGAAATGGGGTGTATTTATAGCAAAATGGAAGTGGCAGGGTGTTGTACTCGATCGAGTATTGGAGATACTCGACCGAGTACAAGAGGTAGTTTCCAGGAAATTGCAAAATGTAGGTATACTCGACCGAGTATTGAGTGATACTCGGTAGAGTATGACAGGATCTTCATCAAATATTCAGCCACGTTCTTTTGCTCCCAGATTTGATTTTGACTAGCGTATCAGGTCAATACTCGACCGAGTATTGGCAATACTCGACCGAGTACTGAACAAATATCAAAATCTTCATTTGATCTTCTCCCTTTTGCACATTCTTTGGTCTTTAGGATCCATCCTTTGATTCTTGGGATGATTTTGATCTGTCCTAAACTCAGAATAATCCTAATCTAAATAAATTACAAATAATTTCACAACCTAAAGTATTACACCAAAAGTGTGTAATTTCCACAACTAGAACTAATAAAACTAGTTAAAAATATAAACATACGTAATAGGAAATTAACCCTATCAACGGACGAAAAAGGTAAAACGGGACAAAGTTAGGGAGGCGGAGGGAGTACATCATAGTCTTTGTGTCTCCTGACTCCTCCCTATCTCCGTTATAACTCAACCGTTTAGTTCCCAACATTGTATATATGATCTTGGCATTTTAATTATTCAAAATTGCTATGGGTACCCCAAGTATACCTCAAATGGTACCCCATATAAAAACCATTCCAAAAATTTACCCCCCCCCCCCCCTCCATTCCCCCACATGCGGCCAGACTCTCCCCCTCACCAATTCTCCCACCCCCCACCTTTTCCCTTCCCTGCCTTTCGACAAACTCCCCGCTCCCCCCTCCCATCGTCACCGACCTCAAGCCCTCCCAACTCGTCCGCCACAACCGCCGTCCTCACCCCCACGAATCGTTCGAAATCAACCGCGAGGACCCATCGACGAACCAACCGGAAACCTCGTCGCAAAGCTTCCCTCATCTCGAAAGAGTTCAGAAACCCAAGGAAGGAATCACCCTCTTGAACTGTTGACCACCGTCGACGAACCGCCCTCCTCAAGCTTAACAGAAATGGCTGAAAGGTATGTACTTTTTTTCATATTTTTTAAATTTATATTATCTTGGTGTGAATAGAGTTGTAATTTTGGTGCTGTTTTTCATTGTGTTTGTCTGACCACTTTGAACTTGTCTTTGCATCGTTGTTTTGGTTGTGTGTCACTTCGTTTTGAATTCTTGAAAGTTGTCTATGATGTCATTATAATGGTCTGGCCAGGCGAATGAGATGTCTGTCATTTGAAATGAATTGTCTGGCAAG